ACTTTCCCGTTCCACCTTAAATAGTCCAGCATTTCTGATGCCTGAAGCACCAGAATGTAACTGCTGCACCATTTAAGGTAGAACAGGAAAATCTGAACAAGAACCTGGCGAATATCTGACTTCAGCTTCGTATCACTAAAGAATTAGCGGTGGGCGATAATAAATAATTGCCCCCCTCTTTGAAGGCATATGATGCCCTAAATGTAACTAAAGCCCAGCAGTGAGGAGCTGAACTTTACCCTCCTCTGCTATCACTGAAGACGGGCCGGGTCGCCTACAGAACAACTAGTAGTCTGTTAATTTGAGGGTTGTCCCATTTCGTAGGGCAAGATAACTCAGTTAAACAAGGGATAAGAAGAAATGGGATTGGGCCTTAGAGTTTGCCCTTCAAGACAGTAGAAAGTTGTGAACAAGTGTGTAAGCGTTACATCACAAGCCTGAACTTTATATTCCGTCGTGGGCTTTTTGAATAATTTGTGCAGAAGTTGAGGCGAGCCCTTGATCCTGCTAGGGCAGCCCTCAATGCGGAGTATTGTTTGAGGCATGAGCCACAAGAATTCTTCAACAATGGCTCATCCATCGAGAACTGATATGTGAGGCCTTGCCTGATGCATGTGCTCTGGCTTGGCAGTCAGGAATCTAAATTTGCAGCCACATATCTGAACAGTGATGCAACTGCTAAACTGGTAAAGGTGGGAGCTTTCCATGCAACCTAATATTGCACCCGGCGACCAAGCACAGAGGAATCTGAGGACACAGGTGCGGAGAATATTATGATAACATTACTCAAGGACCAAAACGGTAAACTCGTGTGACCGCAGAACGGAACGGCAAAGGGGTTAACAAGTACATGGCGACTCCATCACCTGAGATTCCTCTTGAGCTAGAATCCTTCCATCCACCTGTACTGTGGATCCATGCTGGCATTACTAAGTTTGGACACGGTTGTCCTGTCCACACTGTGGTTGCATGGCCAGTGAGCGCAGCTGCTAAGAAGGCGGGACAGACTGTCAACATGCGAGTAGTGGTTCTGGGTTGGACACCTTGCACACCTGTAGGGTTTCTAATTCTGCGTGCGGTGCTCGGAGGAGACGGCCCGTGGATGAAACACATGTATCCGTAAGCCGCAAAGTGAGTTACTGTGTCATAATAAGCCGTGCCGAGGCATGGCAGCCGTCACCGTTGGCTTCCCTGCTGTTAAAACAACGCTCTTGTGCTGAGGGCGCTCATGCTGGAGTTGGCTAGCAGCCACGTGCTGAAAGGGTGAGAAATGCACTAAGCAGGCCCAGCTCTGGGTCTGCTTCTTCACCATCAGGCCCTTAGAAAACGACTTTCAGTGAAAACCACGTTCTTCATTTTAACAACCGATCAAAGTATGACGTGCAGTAAATTACAAATGATGTTTTAATTAGCATTTAATTAGCTTTTGCTAAGAGGAAATTACAGCAGGGATGCACAGCTCCAGCACTGGAGGGCCAGAGTCCAGCATAGTGGCAGTTCCCCCCCTGAAAAATACCAACTAAACCTGGCAATTAAAAGAGGAATGTAATCTAGTGTGTTTGAAAAGATAAACCACCAAACTTTTTTGCCGTCCAGCCCCTGGGTTACAGTGCTAGCTTAAAAAGAAGGTGAACACTGATGAGCTCCAAAAAAATCCACTGGGATTTCTTACAGAACTTTACTAGCAAAATCAGAGTGCCAACATCTTGAAACTTTGAAACTTTTCATGCATACGTTGTTTAGCACAATGCTCATTTGGTTTTATGCTAAAGCCTCTGGGTCTGGCCACAGGTTACGACCAGCTGTAGAATGAAATTCAGACCAAAACTAAGCAAGATTAGAGCCCTGAAAGCCAGGCTGTACATATAAAGAGGCAGAAAAAAGAGTGTTTGCATTATAAATAGACGCGTTTGCTTCATTTCATGTGCACAAAAAAAAAGGAAAAATGAGAAGCAGATCTAGGAGGAAAACGCAGCATATTCCCTTAGCCAATCCAACACAGACAGCCAGCGTGTTCCTACAATGCAGCCATGGTAGGTATGCAAGTCTCTGGGTTCAAGCTCCACACGTTGCCATGGCACAGATGGCCAAAGGGTGGGAGGGGAAGGTGGGGCCACAAGATGTGGGCTTTTTGATTTATGACTCTGCGATATTTCATTGCGCATAGTTGTCTCAGTCCACAGGCTAGCTTTTCAACAAATCCCAAGCATGTTTGGCTTTGACTGGCATATGGTATCTGAGGCTTCCCACAGCCCTTTTCCAAGCACGGAGGGCTTATCTACGCTTCATCTCCCACCGTGCTGACTTACTCCTGACACGTCAATGACAACACCATTAAGCACAAGCTGGGGGAAAGTGTGTCCCCTTCCACTACTAATATTTATGAGCTTATCAAGCTTTTGGTGATACCTCTAGTGCTCTGGGTTTAGCCTTTGGCCCTAATTGGGACTCCCAGAGGCTCTGGTTAAAGCAAGACCTTGAGACATGATGAAGAGAAATACCATCCTGAGGGAGAAATCACGGCTCTCCATAGAGGGCCGACACAGCTGAGCAATGAGCTGGCGTCAAGCTGAGTGTTTGCTTTGGATCCGAATCAGCCCTACAGCTCCCCCAATTAAGGCCGGAGAGAGCCGGGAGTAGCCACATCGGACAGCTCGGACAATCTGTTACAGCCGCTCCAAGATGACAAATAGCCCATTTTCTCAGATAAATTTAATATTTTAAAGAAGTCCTTCGGGACTCGAGTGAACAGATGCATGGGAAGCACGCATGGAACCACTTGCTGAGATGGACCTGCACAGTATCAGTTCCCCTTCAATCGCACCTTAGAGGATACGCATGCAGTACAAATGGTTGCGCTAACCGAGTTTGAAGGAAAAAGGCAAAACCAGGCAACTGTTACAAAAGGCGTCATGGATCTGCCTTTAATCCTGCTTGATTTAATGGTGTGAGGAGACAGTAATTAGTGGAAAAAGTCCCAGAGATACGTTCACAGCCTTTGAAAGCCAAACCTTCCTGCTTGAGGACGAAGGGAAAAAAAAAAAAACTCAACAATATGTATTAACTTCACATAGTGAAGCATCACATAAATCAGAGCATGCAGACAGTTCATGTGATGATAGCACAGCTGGCGATGTTTGTACAACCCATGAGTGGATGTAAGGAACTTGACTTCATGCGTGGCCTTTCTGGCAAAGCTGTCAGTGGGACCTGTCTGTATTGTGATAGCGATGCTGATAACCAGCATTCTCCTGCAGGTGGTCACCCCCACCTACCAAAACGCAGGAATACCAGCCATTCCACACGTGTCATAATTAATCGCTTTCTGCAGCTATTTAGCGTAAGTGCTTGTTGACAGACATCATACAAGACACTCAAGGAATGTGTCAATGACCCAGTACAGGCGAACTCCCCCCACCTTCCACTGCTGAAGCGCAGTGTGTCTTGAGGGGCTTTTCTTCCAATCAATACGTGGGGATTTCCGCCCCATCTAAAACATATCGCTGCTGTTGGAACAAAACCTCGTCTCTCCATCTTTGTAGTTTTCCAGTTTTTGATATAATTTTAAAATGCCTGTTTTCCTTTACATTGTGTGTAAATTTCATGAAGAATGGGCCAAAAGAAACGGCCCAAAATGACTTGGAAAAATGTCTGGCTCCATTGACCAAAAGAAAATGACTTGGGGGGAAAAAGTCTGGTTCCATTGACCAAAAGAAACAGCCCAAAACGACTTGGAAAAACATCTGGTTCCATTGACTTACATTAAAAGTAAAGCAGGTTTTTTTCCTACTCCTGTAAAGTTACCATCTTGGGGATTAGAGATTTTCCTCCAACAACAGCGATATATCTATCATGAAAAATTCAAAATTTGGCAGACCCAAAAAAAAAAAAAATAATAATAATAATAACAACAATAAAACGTCAAAATTTGAACTCAATCATAAAGACTGCTCTTACGAAACTCTCAGACACACGTGAGCAGACTTTTCAGAGTGGAATCCAATGACTGTATTTCCACATCTACAAGTTTAGTCTACTTCACAACGCAGAGACGTTGTTTGTTCTAATCCGGTTCCACAACGAGGTGAAAAGATGACATACAATCTCTTCTCCAAAGACAGGCGATCCATCAACATCTCAGGGCAGGAATGCTGATCCAGAACAAGGACATCTCACAAAGGTATCCCTTGTCATCAATCACAGCCAAGTGAAGGGTTACTGTATATCTCAACTCTCTCAATACCTTTGTTTAAAACGAGGTCAACGTATATCTGTACGTTACTGAGCTCTGCTTTCTAGCTCTGCTAGAAATATAAAACTATGACCAGATACGCAAACTACTAGATTGCCCACCTGGTCAAGCCTGCAGACATGGGTGCAAATTCACAAAGCTTCACAAAGCAGGAGACGAGATTGCTCTCTTATTTACCGAGTTTATGAATGAACAGATCCTAGAAGGGTCTGAGAAGCCTCAAAAATAAGGGTCTTGGTGACAACTCATACAACAAATATTAACTTTTTGAAATGTTAAAGCCACAGAAAAAGTAGCCAGAGTAAATAGTGCACTGATATCTTTGTTGCAGCACTACACTGGTGACAAAATTGTAATTTCTACTTAAAGTGCTGGCATTCTTATTAATAATAAAGGCATACAAGTAACTAATTCACATGTATATAGTGTTATACCCACGGTGACAAGATCTGTTTTCTCTTCATACATCAAGTTGACTTTAATGAGTGTCCAAATACTGAGGTCATGTGTGATCAAACAGCTCCCTCTGCTGTCAGAAAAATGTATTAAGAGGGTTTGTTAGGTTTATAAAAGGAAAAAAGTGGAAAAAATCTAGACTCGTCTTTCACTCTTTGGCAAATGAAAGTATTTACTGCTCTTCATTAGCTGTTAACTGGCAACGAGCCTCAAACATTGCAGAGAAAGTGGAGGGGAAAAAAATGGGACGATTCAGCTTCAAGATCCTTTGGATAGACAGGAGTAAACAATATAAAGGCAATTAAGGTATAAGTTTAATAATTTTTAAAAGAATGCATATACAGTACAAAGGACAGACTTCATACATAGCATTTGGTTTAACACCAAAACAAAAACAAAACGAACAAATAAGGGTGATGACTGGAAATCAGACCGAACTTGATCCACCTGCGCAACACCAATAGTAAACTTGGTTCGGTCAATGAATAGTTGAGGAAAAGGTTTTTAATTGACTGCTTTAGAGAAGGGAAATACGCGGTGTCCGTATATCACAGGTGGATCAATGTGTGGGATCCAGCCCCTAAATAATGACAAAAGTGACGAGAACCATTTAAAACACAGGAGAAGAAAAAAAAAATGATCACAATGAAAAAAAAAGAAAAAGAAGAGAATGTTTTGGTAAAAACAAGTGGAGTCTACAACAACTTTTGTCAGCTTACATTATTATTAATTAAAGTTAACCTATCCAAAGGAAACCAGAGGCTTACCTACATGCATTACAACAAGTTTCTGAGAAAATCTTCTGTGGTCCCTGGTAACGCATTAGGATGCCACTTGTTCTGCTAACACTGTTAGAAAGTTCCCTGCTTGACACAACCAATTGTCGCCACCATTCGATACACATTTAAACCACTCTTATTTACATCGTTATTGACTCGGCCGTCTATCACGTGGGAATATTGGCAAAGAAAAAGAAGCTAAATTTTTTCCGAGCACTTCTGGTGATGACCTAGGGTGAAGCAGGGGTTAGGGCCAACTCCAGCTAGAGAGGGCGATTCACAACGCTACAAGCATGAGCAAGTTCACTCGGGTTTAGTAACCACTCAAACCTCTCGAAGAGCCAGTAGCTGTTACGACTCGGTTAAATGGCAAATTCTCAAGTCAAGGCAGCATCTCTAGTAGATATTTAGAACATCTCAAATGTAAACTAGAAAAGGCCCTCTAGATTCGTGGATTAATAGCTGTGTTGGTAGGGAACTCGATCTTGTATCTGACTCCTGTTGTGTGACTGACGTGTGTGCATTGTTTCTGTGTGTTTGAGTGTGCAGGGTAGTCTTTATATATTTATTGCAGAGCAAAAATTGAAACTCACTTCTTTCATACATTGCTTTTAGAGTACAAAGCTGTTGGCCAGCCTTAGCAGAGCAAGGAGGGGAGAGAAGGAAAGGGTGCTCATAGCAGCACGCATTTACGCTTCTTCTTGGGCTCAGGGGGTTCCAGGGCTGCCAAAATCGCCTCGTCAAATACATTCTTTAGGCCTTTCTGTGGACACAAAGCAGGGAAGAAATGGAGACTCAATGTGGGTCAACACAGACAAAAAGGATAAAAGGAAGAAAAAAAATCAATGAGTGGTCTGGGGATCAACGCACAGCACTGAAACCAAGAGTGAGAGGATTTTTGACATGTGAATGAAACACTGGAGTTGATGCATGAGAAAACAAAAACGAACAAATGAAGGGGGGCAGTACGTGCCAGAGGGATTACATTTGCAAAACGGGAAAGCAACACAGCAAAATAAAAAGGTCAGGGAAAGATCAGGGAAATTTTTCAAGGTACAAAAACAAAAGTGCAACAAGATCATCTTTTAACATCCACATTTACTGATTTTTATTTTTGGATCTGGCCAATAAAACCTGGACATGCTGACGGGGCGTGAAACGAGAGAGTAAACACAGGCTCAGAGACACGAGGGCTGGTGAGGTGAAAGGGACGCAAAATCAAACTCAAGCCACTGGGATAAAGCAAATGGACATAAAGATGCATGACCTGCGACAAGTAGAGTAGATGTGGTAAAAAAGCATGGCATTCTTCCAGTACACCAGGAGTCTGTCTGCCCTTGTAGATGCACTTTCGAAACAGATTTTAATTCACTGTTAAACTGAGGAAACAGCTTGCAGAAAGGTCTTGGCTGACGTCAGGTGACCGCTAACATGAGAGCAGCATGTACAGGGAGATTTACTCAAAAGAGGCCCCGAATATTCTGTAATAACTCTCTCTAGGACGAAGCAATCTGAATGAAACAACGTGCAATGAGCTCCTCAGTATAAGGAGCTTCGAACAAGCCAGGATGCCCCTGTGGCGGAGCAGTGAGGTAGGCGCCGGACAGCCATCGGGATGTTTAACCTCCGTTTGCAACATCCCGGGTGCCTACCCCCCGTACCCCTTCATGTGTCTGGCAGGGATCACTTCCAGCATCGCATGTAGTGCAATCGATTACACATACATCAAGGTATTTTTTTGGTTCAGATTGCTTCATCCTAACGGGAGTTACAACAGAATATTCAGGGCCTCTTTCGAGTGAATCTCCCTGTACAAAGCTGTTTTATAAGCCCAGATTATGAGAATGAAAAAAGCAGTCTTGCAGGGTTCTGACACTGCTGAACGCAACTTCCCCAAACAGAACGTCTACAACACCTGAAAGTCTTTGAAGACCAGCATGACACACGCAGACTTTGCTACAAGGCTCCACACAGAAGGAGGAAAATCGGCTGAGCTGTGGTAGCAAAACAATCAGTGACTCCATAAAAAGTGTGAATGTGTTTTCTGTGGCACCGCGAGCAGTCAGTCAGTTTCTCGGTCGTAATTGATGAGACACATATGCAATGGCAATTTTAGCTATCCTTTATTAATCACACAAATCATTTCACAAGATTATAGTAAGTTGGTTTTAAATTCCCAAGATGGGTCATCAACGACACCCAATTGCAAATTGTAGCCTTATATTATGCTCAGATTTTAATTTCTATGATACAATGCCTGTAGTACAAAATAATACATCGAAATAAGGAATGAAGATAGAAGATAAGACCTTGTCCTTAATCGTAATGCAGTTGAGCTGCTTGTACCTCTTTGACTGCACCCCCCCCCCTTTCAAACAGTAGAAATGAAGGAATAAGTACTGAAGGATCATACAAATGTCTACTGCAACATTATCAATAATAATCAACAAAAATGTCTAACCAAATATGCATTACAAACTCTTCAACCCCTTGGTTTGGAACCAAGTGAGTGCAAAAACAAGAAAAACTTGACAATAATAATAATAATAATAATAATAATTCTCCAAAACTGGAGAGGACAAAACAACCTCCATTCAATTCAAGAGGCTAGACTGTAACAGCAGTCCAAAATGGCAAAGGGCGGAAAACCGAAGAAGAAAAGAATGGCACAGACAAACACTTCAGTATTATGAAGCAAGAAACATAAGACACTGGCTTTGTTTGTTAGCAGTCAGGAAACTTTTTCTTTTTTTGGATCAAGAGGTAAACTATAGGAAGCAGCAAACATCTGGGGGAGAAGCTGGGCGTTAGAAAGAGAGAACGAGACTTTAGAATATACAGCACTTCCGTTTTCGCTGTGTTTCAGGGGGTTCAAGGGCAGCTAGGATAGCCTCATCAAATACATTCTTCAGACCTCTCTACAAAGACAGAGGGGGGAGGGAAGAGAATAGGCAGCAAGGTTAGCAGTTACAGCAAACAGATTTTAGAAGATAGAGAAAAAGATCAGAGCAGAGTGCAGAAAAGTGCAAATATAGAAGAGCTAAAGCACTACAGGAATGAGTACTGCAGCTATCTTCAGAGCTGGAACTATACGCTTCCTCTGCAAAGAGGAAGGAAACCCAATGAACCACAGGAGCAGAATGTAAATGACATGAGGAAACTTACGAAAAAGCTCTTGCACCACTGTAAGAGGAGTGAATTCAGGGCAGTGTTGTAGACAGTATTTAAATTTAGAGGCTGAATTTACTGTAACTTGTTTGAAATGTTATTTAAAAAGCTCCACGCATTATTTAAAACCCTGCTAAACAGTTCCTAATTGGAAAGTACTATGACCTCATTTTTAACGGGCTAAAACGTTTGAATACATGCGTAGTAAAAGCCCAGCTCCTCATTAACATATGCCAACCATGCAATCATAAACTGAAACAAAGCTTGGTGAAAAATGTTTGGACTCTACAAAGAAGGTATTTTGAACTACGTGACAAACACTGCACAATGAAATGAGCCGACTGTGTCTCTGAGCCTCTGTAATTGCTTCCATTTCGTTTACATTTTTTCACAACTTCATTAAAACAAACTTACCTTCCAGCAATCATAACGCGCATCACTTAATTTCCACAACTTGTCCAATTCTAACATTGACACCTTCACAGATTGTTGCTTTAATTAATAATTAAAGTGGCCGAATACAGTAAATGTGATTATTAACTGGTAATGTATATCACATTGTGCTGTCTGTAGAAACACCTACTACTTGTCATGCTATGATTAGGGATGCATCAATACCAAAATTGGTAATGGGTATCGGCTCAATACCGTGCTCATCTATTCGTACTCGAACTCATAAAAAAGCACTGATACCGAAACCCGATACCACGCGACGTAAGCCTCGCGATGAACAAATGACTTGTGCAGGCAGTTAAAGAGGGTCTGCTCAAACAGCAAAATGTTATCGATGCCATGGCAGTTGGACAAAAAGTCACTGGTCACTTTAAACATTCTGCCTTGGCATACTCCTGTTAGACGTACACTGTGCAATTTTAGCCCAATTTTTAGACAGACAAACACCCGTCACAACCCCAACAGAGGTGGAGACACGCAGCCTGCAGGTCACAGCAAAATAGAGGCAAAAAAGTCGACATTTGTTAGGAAAGTCCGTATATTTACTCTGTTTGAGAATAGAACTGCGTCGCCATCAATACGTTTATTTTTTTAAATTTTCATTGTAAAATAAGCTGTAAAGAGACCATTCTGTATTTTTTTGCCTGATTCTGGTTTTAGTGCACACTGTGGCACAAAGTAGCAGAACTGCTGTAGCTCAGTTTCTCTGCGTTTTTGCTCTGTACTCAGACGCATAGCATGTTTTGAATCAAACAGCTTTATTTATGTGTTCTGACTGTAGGGTATTTGTTTCACATGCAATGTCGCTCAGACCGAGCGTTTCTGTAAATCATACGTATTGTCCATACACAATAGTCTATTTAAACAGTGTGTGTCTCCAAAGAACAAGATTTCTAAAATGGCACAGTGTATGTCTGGCTTTAGAAGACATTCACCTACAGTTCAACCAACCAAGAAGACGCAAAACTAGAGCCCGACCGATAAATCAAATGTGCCGATATTATTGGCCGATATGAGCTGCAGATAAATCGGCATCAGCGTTTATAATGACCAGTAAATGACAATTTAAAAAGAAACGGAGAGGTGGAAAACAGATCCTTTAACCATTGAGTGTTGTTACATAGTTTGTCCATCAGAGGACGCCCTGGAACTTCCCTGCAGGCAAAACACGTTTGTAATGCCACAAATCACGACAATTAGCTGACCCCGAGTCGAGCAGAGTAACTTTATTCCATAAAAGAGGTTATCAACGTTTATGGTAAGTTGCCAACTGTCACATTACATACATTACTTAAACACTAATAAAAATATCCCCATCCCTTCTTCTCTTAGCCTAAATGAGCCTGTTTGGAGCTCCTGAGACACTGGCTGCCACTCATCTGTGATAAAATGCACTGTTACAGTGACACAAGATCCAGTGGCACTGGATGTCCACGCAGCACATTACAGCTGTCCTGCCCGTTTTCTTTAGTGATTTTATAACTTTGGTTCTGGTCTCGTTGTAGAGAATTGGGGGGGATCGCTGTGTCAGTAAAATATCTTCGAGGCGGGACGTGTGCAACATAGCGCGAAAGACCTAGTTCGCAACGACTGAGAACTGGCGTGCAGACTGCAGGTCACATAGAAACACAGTCTCACCTGGTTAGTAGCTAACGAAAAGGCAAAGAGAGAGATTTAAGAAACTATTCAACTTTTGAGGAAAAGTGTCCTGGCAAAAATGGGAGGAAAGCAGCTATAGCTGTACTAGGACATTAACACACACTGAGACATGCTGGACATAAAGTATTGTGGCTCCCAAGGTGATCTGACAAAATGGCTCTTCTTAACATTTGGGTTGTGTCTCCTGACCTAACCTAGCTGCCGATACATCCAGTTGTGTTTTTGCACTTCCGCACTTCCAAGTTCCGCCCTTTGCATTCCGTCAACATTACATTATAAATTAAAATTCAGAAAATAGATTTTTGACATTTGTGAATCAATTCAGAATCGATTTTTCCCCCCATCCCTATAAGCAACGGTCTTATCTTTTCTCCCTAGCTCGCCACTTCTAAAAAATTTTGCCATTGCTGCTTACAGCAGCTTACAACCAAATTAGGTTACCCACAAAGCCAGCTAATGCTGTGTTTATGAGTGGAAAGCAACTAACGCTAATGAGTGGCTAAAATAAAAAAAAGAGAAATAAATAAAAAAATAAAACAAAATTTACAAAATAAAATACAAAATAAAATATGAAAGTTTAACTTGTTCTGCCTAAATGACGAAGAAGTCAGCTTCTTATTCCCCAGCTTCCTGTTTGAATACTCCCGTTCCACCTTAAATGGTGCGCAGTTGCATTCTGATGCCTGAGGCATTTGGGTCATTGCTGCACCATTTAAGGTGGAATGGGAAAATTTAAATAAGACGCTGGCAAATAAGAAGCCAATTTCAGCACCGTGCCTAAAAATAGCAATGGTAAATATCTGCGACTCACATGTCTGTAATTATTGTAGTGATCGGAAATTATTAAACCAGATGCGACACAAACATACGCTGAACAAGTATCCAACATGTCTTGGTAGCCAAACAAAGTTATCTAGCTTCTCTTTCAAACATGCAGTGTTTGTTGTTATGGCACTATTTTTGTTAGAGCACAGAGCTGTGAGACCTTCTTAAAAGGTCTTCCAGTGTAATTACGAGTAACACGCCATGTTCAGATGCTCCAAATGGTGTAATACGAATAATAACAAACTTCTTTAAAACGATAATATGACGGATGTTTGTGTTCGTAACACTACAGTGTGAAATTTCAGTTTCACACTGCAGCTCTGCAAGTTTATTTTTAAACCTCATTATGTCATGTGATCTCGGTGAGGACTCAAATAACTACACAAACATTTTCCCTAACATTTGTTATGTTATGCATTTTTGAAGAAAAAAAAAAAAAGAATATCGGCTGATATATCGGATTTTTAAATGGTCAAATACTGAAAACAGTATCGGTCTTAAAAATCCTGGATCGGTCAGGCTCTAGTAAAACTCGGCAAGTGAGCTCCTCGGATGTATTAGCCTTGGATGTGATTCCTGCTGTCATTGTGCTCCAGAGACTGTTGTTGTAAGAGACAGATGAGGAGCTAGTAAACATACCTCAGCCAAAGTGGAACAAAACCAACTCTTCTCCACTACAGCACTCCTTGATCCAGTGTAACACAGCACAGCTAGCTAATGCACATCATTTAAAATCAGCTAGATTTTAATTATGTAACTGTTAAGGTACATTATACTTTTTTACACTGACAACCGCAAGTGCTAAAAAACCATGCACTCGTTCTTGGCTTGAAAAAAATGGTATTGATGCATTAATAGCTACGATAAAACTTAAATTCTGACAAATTCCACAGACTTACTGAAAACTGTAATTTTAGAAAACTCATTTGATGAGCACTATTTTATATAAACAAGAATTACTTTATATGTTTATTACAGTAAAGCTTGAAACTCTGCATTGGTGTTTCCCTCAATGACTATGCTAAGCACACACGTAAATGAGTACACAATTAGCAGTATGAGTGAAGCACTCATGCCTATTTAACACTTTCAAAGTGTTCTGGTTTTAAATAGCCAGAAAAAATGAAAACACTGCAGTGAGTCCTTTGCTGTCACACTTGTTTTTATCACCACAAAGAACAAATAAGCGATTACTCATGAGTGATTCATGTAAACCTAATTAAACAGGCTGACGCAGTTTTGTTTCTATTGTCTGTTCTTTCTTATTAATTTATCATCTAACTGCTGAGTCTTTCTGAAGGAATGCTGCCTGTTGTGCTGTTGGTAATTCTGAGATAATAAGGCTTCACCCACCTGTGTGAGAGCGGAGCACTCCACGTATTTGACAGCCTTCAGATCACGGGCCAGCTTCTCAGCCGTCTCCGGAGTGATCGGCTTCTGTTTGTTCTTTGCAAGCTTCTCGATAGTGGAGGGGTCGTCTCTCAGATCAATCTGCGTCCCCACCAGGAGAAAGGGAGTCTTTGGACAGTGGTGGGTGATCTCAGGTACCCACTGAAAACACAGAAATTAAAATTATTAGAGAGATAAATTATTAGAGAATATCAATAAGGATTCTAATTCATCCACCATAGGAAACAAAATCACAGAGTGGTTGACAATTAACAACTGGTCATATAATAAAAAGCAAAACCAACCTTTTCTTTGACGTTTTCAAATGAAGAGGGGGAAACAACAGAGAAACAGACTAAGAACACATCTGTTTGGGGATAGCTCAGAGGTCGTAATCTATCGTAATCTTCCTGACCTGTTGGGAGATGGTAATAACCCATTAATATAAACATGCAGAGTAAATTAAATGATTAACAGAATAACAGCACAGATTAAACCAAATAATGGTCTCATGCAAAGATTTAAATAGAACTACTTTTGTTGAAAACATACAGTTTCTACATTTTGACGTCTCCTTAATAGTCTACTGTCTTTTTTTGAAGAAGGAGGGATGTTTCAAAGTCAGTGATTTTCTATTCAGGCATGGCAAGGAGCTCTGCTGCTGTCCGATTTTGCTGCCATTTAAGGTAAACATAAGTCAGGGTCAGACAGAGCCTAAGTCCTAAGTTCTACCATTATTGTGCCTTTCAGAAACCCATTAAGTCTTTATTGGAACTGTGACAAGCCTGGTGACCGTAAATGGGTACAAATTATAGACTGGCAATTTGAGAAAATAATAGCACGATTTAGTTTTTCTGAGTTTTAATATGTTGGAACAGACACTGTAGCCACAATAGCGCTACATTAAAAAAACAAAAATGAACAAAAATAATTAAAGAAAACTGAAGAAAATTTAATTAAATAAAAAAGTGTAAATAAACAAAATACTCAAGATATGCAGAAAAGCATATTGTGACAAAACGTATTGTGATAACAGTAACACACTGTCATATTGTCCACCTCTAGTATAAATACAACAAACAAACACAAAACTTCAAATCAAATCTATCCTTTAAAAAAAACACGACACTAAAAAGAAATATCACGAGCATCATCCAGTGGCTGACAGAGCCCAGACAGCCATACAGCTTTTGGTCCATTAGAGGGGAAAGACTCTGAATCCACTCGCCTCCAAAAAAAAGCATGCAAAGCTCATCCACCCTCCACAAGAATGTCAGGAATGCAGCAAAGTGCTGTGCATCTATTTCTACAACAATGACGATGACAAGCATTCTCGTCATCGATACCGGGCTCCGCCCTCTCCTCAAAAAAATCAGCACTTGAACCAGCACATGAAGTCTAAGTGAGCATATGAACACCTTCAAGCTACATAGTTTAATAAATCAATACTTTATCAGGGAATGAGAAACAAAGGCTAAACATTCTGCTGTTTGCTTAGAGTTTTGGAAATATAATGACAAACATACTGTACCTGCAGTATCAAACAGTCCAAGGGTGTAAGGTTCACCACCGATCATAACCGTTACTGCATAGTTATCAAAGACCTGAAAACAGCCATAGAGATGTCAAAAAATATGCAAAAACCTCACAGCAGTAAAAAATGGTATAAAATACATCATTCTGCAACTTAAAGTGAAATGGACCTCTTTAAAATGCACTCGATTTTCTGAAGAGTTTTCATCAACACCACACCACTCAAAATCAAAAATCGCTGCTGTCGGAACAAAACCTCATATCTCCAAAACAATAACCATACGGAAGAAGAAAAAACATACTATACTTTTAAGGTTAGTCAATATAATCAGAATTCTTTCCAAGTCATTTTGTGGTAACTTCTTTTGGTCCATTCTTCATGAAATTACACACAATGTAAAGGACAACAAACATTTTCAAATTATATCAAAACGGAAAAACGTTTTATCTCCATTTTTGTTCCTACAGCAGCGAGATATACCATGCAAGACTCCTTTTCAGATGGTCAACATTTAATATTTATATTGCAACTGAATCAAAAGCAATGACTGAATTATGTGAAAAGCCTGTTCCTGAGTACTGCAACCTTGCGCGATGTAGTTAGTTTAAAATCAAGGCACTGAACAGCTTTTTAAATTCTAAACATTTGGATGAGTAGAAACCAAGAAGAAGAGAGGAGTGTTACTCACCGTTGGTACATATTCAGATGGGAATTTGTTAGTTGTGTAGGAGATTAATAGACAGGTTTTACCAACGGCACCATCGCCAACCACAACGCACTTGATCGTCTGCATAGCTGTGCTTTTAACAATCCACTCTTCTCATTCAAGATCTGTAAAACAAAGGAGAGAAAATCAGCTCAGGGCTTTGAATTAAAAATTAGGCTTAGTTAGGTAACATAAAAATAACAGTCAGTTTGCACCAACAGGCACAATAATGTCTGTTGCCAGCTTCAGCAGATACCGCTTAATGACTAACCTCTTCATTCATGTAATTAAATAATAATGTTCACCGCAGATGTGCAATATGGCAAAAATACACTCAGTTTATTTTCAATCAAGGTATTTTTCATGTTACATGATATGCATCATAACACGGCACAGAATGCATCAGCAGTGCCACGTTTAAAAACTACTCTAAAGACCTACGAGGACAATGATTTGTATTGATTTCATATTGCTGTTGTTGGAAGAAAACCTTGTATCTCATGATGAATGGACCAAAAGAAACAGCCCAAAATGACTTCTTTCCAAGTCTGGTTCCATTGACTTACATTAAAAGTGATGTAGGTTTGGTCCTTCTCCTGTAAAGTTACCATTTTGGAGATACGAGGTTTTCTTCCGACAACAGTGTCATACTGTGCAGCACTAAATCCAGCTGAACAGGCCTCTTTGTGATGAAACACGCAGTTGTATAGCACAGTGTTGTAATTTCCCATGTATTTAACCATAACCCACACAAAAGGGCGAAGCATGTCTGACTATTAAAGTCTGATTTATTAAATATTCCATGTTGAACCTTCTGCTTTTCGGGCACCGACACAGTTGGTGATACGCAATTGTGCTAACCAACAGTATAAACTACCTATATTCAGTAGATTGTCATTTCAGGCTCTAAATGCTGAACTACACAAGCAGCTTAAATAAAAGTTTTTTTTTTTTCTGGCATCTACTGCCCCCCCCCCCACCTAAAGTGGAGGCAAGTGTATCCAGGCCATTCTTATAGCCAGCGGCAAAGACTTCGCACAAATTACCAAGGGTAAGATGTCCTTGTGCATGCAATAGCTACAGCTCTACAGCAGTGGAAAAACTGTCTCCATCAATAAGATGGAGAAGACAGAAAAGACTAATAGGCCTGAGAAACCCACCACATGCTGATGTGGCCTTTTCACCACAAAAATAAACAGCACACACTTATGTTTAATTACAAATCAGCTACCTGAGTCCACTGGGTGAGCTTTCAAGGTTACTTAGTGATGTGATTAAACAAAAGGCAAAGACTGTGGCCAACAAACCATGATATTTTTGCCAGCTTGTGAAATCAGTGATACAGCCTTGGTGATATTTAGTAAATCAAACACTTTCCGTGTAAATATTCTTGTATGTTTTGCGAATTCTGAACTCTCTCCTTACATGTGAGAGATTAAGCAGGCAGTATGTAATCTCTGCCTACTTTGCCAGCCCCTCAATACCTCTGGAGAACATGTCTGTATAATTTTATGAATTAGACATACTTTTAAAACGAACACTTCCTCTTTTCTGGGTACACAGTGCTGAGCATACAAAGGAAGCTTTTTCAGACGTCACCGCAGTGAAAGTAGTTGTGTTATTGTCTGATAAAATTGGTGTGTCAAAGTTAATCAAATCTGAAGTTGACTTTCAGACATTTTTACCCTGAAAGTCTGCCACATAAAACTGATCATAGCAATTTTAATTGAAATGTATGTATTTTTGCTCTCGAAACTGTTATATTTGCTAGCACGCTTGCATGATGGAGCACATACAAAAATAAATACAGTGATACGAGTATCCTGACTAGCTTGCTTATGAACATGTGGTGAATGTTTTGATGAATCAAAGAATGAACATGATCTATTGTAGATAATTTAAAATAACACAGCCCAATCTTTAACCACATCGTACTGAGTATTTTCATCAATCTATTTTACATATCACAATGCACGCTGAAAGCACACCATACAGCAACTGCAATAAGATATTCAATAATTAATACAATGATATACATATAAAAGCTATAAAACATTTAATAAATGGTAGAAATTGAGACAAAATCTACCTGGATTAGTGCTGCAGAGAAAACATGTATTTCTAGAGAGTCACAAATGCAGTAAAATGAATAAAATGCATACATTTCAGAGTAGCAGCCCTGCGGTGACTAAACTCTTTCGGAGTACGTTAAACACGCAAGCTAATATTAGTCAAATCTTGATTTTTTTTTTCTTTTATTAAGCAAATATCTGCTGATTCCAGTGTCTCTGTGCTTCCTTACTATAATGTTGAGAATCTTCTGCTCTTCTTCATGAACAGTCTGCATCATTAATAATTCAACATGCCAGCAAAGACGCCAACAGATTTTGTAACTATTTTTAGTGTTTAATTCAATGTAATTGCTTTCAAAAATCACAGACGACTAACAATACGTCACAAAGATAGTTGAAGATGAACTGTGAAGAATCTAGAAGATATCCTGGACACTATTCAAATGGGTCACTCAAACCAAGCTGTGTAAGCTAAACGATTCAGCTATCAGATAATATAACCTTATGTCCACAAACACTGTCTGTCCTCCACGTTCTGGCAAAAAACAGTACATTTCCAAAAACACAGTACATTAAAAACAGACCCCTAACTGCACCTCCTTCCTCACAGACCAGCTGGCCCAACCCCCCCGTCCCTGATTGTGGGTCACTGCAGCTTTAAGCACCAGCATAACGTCATCTGTTCAGCCGCAACCACACATGCACGCTCGCGGAGGGACAGTATGGTCAGCCTCCGAGCCCACGAACACAACTCCATTCACTGGATCCGAGCCTGTAACAGGCACAGAGAGGCAGGAATGGCGCATAAGACTCCCTCCATACAGTAACGAGGCTAGGCAGAGAAGGGCCAGTCAGCCGTTTTCCGGCTGTTTGCCACTGAGCCTCAGTGGCAGCTAAGCCTCTGCAGAGCTCTGCAGTAGTGAGCGGAGGGAACACGAGCTCACAGATGGACTGGGGCAGGGAGGGGATGGAGCCCGGCCCGTCCGTTTCCTTCCACGCTCGCACAGCAATCTGCGGAAGTCAGAGCTGACCTCATCTCACTGTTTCAGCTAAGAGTACACCCACTCGACACTTTTCACGTATGGCACTCCGAAGGGGATTGTTTTAGAGCTGTCTCAAACTCAATTATCCCATCGATTTCTATTTACATTTTCAATTAACTGGCACAGATTACTTTGCAATCTGCATGATTACAATGCATATTTTTTTATTCGCCTGACAGACACAGCTATTTACTATTCATAAGCATTTTTAAGGCACAGTGTTTTTATTTTTGCTCTTAATTACACCTTTTTGAAGGCTTCCTAGTTAATCTACCTTCTGATCAAGTATTTTCAGACCGTTGAAAGGCTCTGCATGGTTTGTTATTGTTCTGTAAATGTCGATTTTTACCATCTGACCTTAAAACTGACTGCCAAAATAATTATTCAATTACTTTTGTGATCGATAGTTAGAGCCCTAGCACTGTCATCAGTTTGGCTGGTTCACAGCTGTAGTCAGTACAATGGAATTTTTTTAAAAAACTGTCTAAACTCAATAACAAATTATTACACTGGGCTGCAAACTGCTCAAATCCTCAAAAACTATGGGCTGGAAATCAACTATGTCTGGCAGCCTTAAAGCTGTATGAAAGACACTAATCTCGGGAACTTAAATAGGGTCTCGTGTATACAGAGCAGTTAAATCCACAATGAAAGCACATTCCCATAAGTGCATTAAAAGGGAACCACTCTTATCCGTTCTAGTGGTTACATACAAAAACTTAAGTTTAAAAACAACTGGATTACGGCCAGAGTTCAGCTCACATTCTAGCAAGTAATAACAATAAATAAATAACTACATTTTTATGCCAAACACTGCAGTCTGGGCCTGTGGATAACACAGGACAGTAACCTAAGCAACTGTGCTAGAAAATCAGGATCATGTTGACCACCGGTAGAGATCAATGAAAACAGAACTGTGTTCAGTCACCACATTAAACCACTTACAGCTCCACAATGATATAACACAAACACAAATAGCTGCTATATTGACAAAACTAATTCTGAGATTTACATTCAAGGTCTGCTGTCTTACTAAGATGACATGCTATCCATGTGTGATAGGAGACAAAGATGTATGCATTCTTTCTCACATCTCACTTGCTGTGATAAACCGAGGTGCTGCTGAGCGCTGCTCTGTACCAGTACTATGAGTCAATTCATGAATAATTAAAATCATTGAATCTGATGAAAAAGAAATAATAATAGCTTCTGTTTTCGTACAAAAAAAAGCCTGAACTGTTTCGACAAGCAATCACCAACTGCATCACCATGTCCAAAGTCTCAGGCATCAGTGAACTAGGATAGCTGTGAATAGTCCTCTAAGAAGCTACTAGATCCACTGTAGTAGCTCCTTGGTGAGAACTGGGTCACTTCTCAGTCTGTCCCAAAGTTTTGGGACAGCAACTGATTTCTATGATCTCAACTGTGGAAATTATAGTCAGAAATGAAGCGTCTCTGTACCTTGTTTGTGTTTGGAAGGAGATGCGACAACTAAATCTGACATAAGGGCCATAAACACATCACTAGCTAGAGACACAATGATAAAAGAACCAAACTTTTGCCCGTTTTATTCATTTAGACGCTGAATGTTAATTATGAAGCTAACATTATTATAACTAAATAAATTTCAAGTTGCAAACGTATTCAATGTTTTCTGTAATTCTCACTTGAACAGAGTCCCTGTGATGTTAGTGGAGCCCCTGTACTCTTCACGGTGGCCCCATGAAAAGGAGCTGTTTTGGCTCCTTTCGACTAAAAAACATGGATTTCCGACATTGACCCAAAGGGAAAAGCGAGGCACAGCAATTTACACATCTATGCATGTTTGTAGCTAGATATATAAATTAAATACAGTGAAAAATCTAAATATCCGATGCTACTGGGTGTTGCTGACAGACCAAAATCGGACAATACGAGTATAGAAACGTTTCTGCTTGATACTTTTAGACTTTAATACCAGACTTTATAAAAACAAAGCAAAGTATCAACATTTAATAACACAACGTCAAGCCAAACGTGTGGCTTGCAGCGACAAAACCTCAGAAAACGGAGTTAGTGAAGTTAGCCAGCGCCGCTGGCGCTCGGAAACAGGGGTCGGGACGTTGAGCTAAAAAACAAACCACTGACGTTCCTGTGGACTAAACGTGTTCCCCCAATATTCCCCATTACTCAGTAAGTTAACTTGACGTTCATATGACAACAAAGGTACACGAACCGCCACCTTTCGTTCATCTAACTCAACCGGCGAAAATCTGGTTAGTTGGCTAAGCTAAGCTAACGCTGGCTAGCCCACCCAGCTGATTAGCTAACGTTACTTCAACCGTAATAATGGCAACAGGGAGAGGAACTAACATCAGATACTTCTTGAGATGTCTTGAGTTAGTTTTACCCAAAACCACCAACTAAGCACCCTGAACGGAATCACAAAGAGAAAAAAGTTTAGATCGAGCACCAACCGAGCTTCTTTATTTTCTGACCGGTTTCGTTTAACGTTACTGTAAAAAAAACCCGCTAGCACATTTGCTAACGAGGCTGAAGTTGGCTTCCTATTCGCCAGCTTCTTGTTCGAATTCCCCCGTTCCACCTTAAATGGTGCAGCGGTTACATTCTGGCGCCCCAGGCATGTCGAATGCGACTGCTGCAGGATTTAAGGTGGAACGGGGAAATACGAACAAGAAGCTGACTTCAGCGTCGTCATCTGCTAACTGTCTTAGGGATGTCATTTGAGACGCTTTGTTTGACGGACAATAAAGCAAAATGTATGCGTTCTCAATAGAAATATCCTTCGGAAAACAGTTCGTTTACACGTGTACGTAAATTTGCTACCCGAAATAGTAATAAACACAGGTTTTCGATGTATATTTCGTCTCCACTCACCGTATCCTCTCTGTTTGTTTCTCTGCGCCGGGCGTTGGCAGCTCCGTGCTCGGGGTTTCCCGTGGAAAGGCGCAGGGGCGTAACGTCAAAAATGCCCTGAAAACCCCCCCAACATGAACTGCTACATAAATAATCACTTCGAAATTTAAAATATACATCATTTTACAAAGACATATCAGCTAATATGTGCTCACAAATATGCACTGTTTAAAGCAACATAATATAACTGAAATCTAATGATAACTGACAATGGAAAATGTTCTAGATGACCAATAAATTATAGGCCTATTTGTCATTCGCGTCTACTAAGGTGATTTAAAATGGTGTTACACATAATTCATATGTTCATGTTTTTCATTTAAATGGTTGGAAATAAGTTTTTTGTCACCACAAAAATGAGTTTTGACCTACTTCTCGCAGTATACGGACCGACACACGGTGGCAATAGAGAGCTTTTTCAGTAAGAATTAAGGTTAGTTGCTCCTGTCAAAATAAAAGTCACTACTCTACGGCTTATTTCTACCCTAACACAATATTCCAGAGTCTAGCGAGAGGTATAAGGCACACGCTATTACTTTGCATGAAAAGTGTGTTTTATATAATAACGCTGTTTCTCTGAAATAAATAAAGGCGAATGCACATATACATTCATTTGTATACGGAGCTTTTATATTAAAATTTGTGAATCGCTTTTTGGTCTTCGCCTCATGTGACATTTCGTGGACACATGACATGAAAATATTATGTGGAGCTTATGAGAAGAGGATGTGCTTTAGGTTCATTTCGACCGTTAAAGCACCGATTTCATTCGTGTTTTTAAAGTGCACCTGTGAGTATAAAGGTTGATAAGGTTTTATAACTACTCTGTTTTATTTTGTTCTATTATCAGTTTGTTCTGGCTGCTCTGAAGTTCAGGAAGACACCTCTCTCTGGAGTGGCTGCTGAACGAATATCTAATAAAATGTCTTTATTTCATTACAGCCTCAACCTTCACGCCTTGGTAGCTGAGCTGTGCAGTCTTCACTATGACGCCTGGAAACTCCTGGGATGAGAGAATTTCAGCCTTTTTATTGAGCCCCTCACAGTTTTTGTCCTGCACCACCTCTGAAAGTTTTTTATCAGAGCTTCTGGACGAACTGAGGGATGAAAAGGCAAATGACAACAAAAAGGTAACGATAGTAATTAACAACACACACACATATATGCACAAACAAGAAAATTAATATATATCCGTGCTGTTGGAACAAAACCTTGTTTCTCCATTTTTGTCACTTTTCAGTTTTTGATATAATTTGAAAATGCCTGTCCTATATATTGTTTGTGAATTTCATGATGAATGGACCAACAGAAATGACTCAGAATTGCTTGGAAAAAAGTCTGGTTCCATTGACTTGCATTAAAAGTAGAGTATGTTTTTTCCTTCCCCTGTAAAGTTCCCATTTTGGAGATGCAAGGTTTTGATCAGACAACAGCGATATATCTATCATGAAAAATGCAAAATTTAGCAGACCCAAAAAAACAAACACAATAATAAAACGTCAAAATTGGACGATGGTGGTGCGCCCCTTCTCAATGCAGCTGTTCAGTTATGCACACACAGATGTGTAATCTCCATAGAGAAGCACTGCCAATAGAGTGGGACACTCTGGAGCAGCTACACATGAGGTCACCATGCCCAATGACAAGTGTTAGCTAGTTAAGCAATAGAACATGAAAGGGAGTGTGTTATTCACGATAACACACAACCTTGAGTGTTTTATTGCTTTTATACAACAGTTAAATAAATAAAGTAATAAATTAATAAACTGGGTCGTGAACGCAGCATTTAATATGTTTTAATCTTCGCAGTTCCTTCCGCCAAATTATAGTTCCTTAACAAGCAGCTTGTTGCTACGTCAGAGTAACGAGCTCCGCCCACTCGCTGCACAGCCGGCAGTTCGTTCTACAGCTCCTTACACTAAATTCCCAAACTGTTATCACTACTGAGCAGCTTTTCAGGCGGCAGCTGTGACAGAAGAACCTAAACAACCTGGAATCAGCCAGAAATGAACCGAATACTATTCGCCAAACATGTGGTCTGATGTTCCGAGTCTGACCAACTGGGACTGAGCCATAAAACTGCCGCAATATCAAGTTTAGCTCAGTTTTGTCAGTTTTTGCCAGATCAGTATTAATGTTGTTTTGTTCCAGCCAGTCTGTAAAGCATCTTACAGCCCATTTAGTTTGGCGAATGGTATTGGGTTCATTTCTGGCTGATTCCGGGTTGTTTAGCTGTTCTTCTGTCTCAGCTGCCGACTGAAAAGCTGCTCAGTGGTGATGACAGTTTGGGAATTCAGTGTAGTCTCATCTTCAGAATCTGACCAAATTGGCTGTCAGTCAAATGTGATCTTAAAAGTATCCATTTTCTGTTTGTGGCAAAGTAAGAAGTAAAAACGCTCAAATGGCTTGAGCTTCTCTTACAGCTGTCAAAGTCGTTGCTTAGCAACGGTGTCTCAGTGGAGTGATACAGTGTTTGTGAAAAAACGTGATATATATTATGGTGAAATAACAGCACGGTTAGAACGCTTCTCAACCAATCAGCTTGCGTGGCCGGAACTAACTGTTGTATAAGGTGGTATAAAGCCCTCCAGCACTGGGCTGTGGAACAGTGGAACTGTGCTCTCTGGAGTGATGAAGCTCCTTCCAATACCCTTGGAATGAGCTGGAGTGATGCTTGTGATCCAAAACGGAATTTTAACCTGGCTTTAAATCCAAATCCCAAAGCGTAAGACCTTTCTGTCCGAGCCTCGTCCACCCTGACCTGCAGTACCAAGTTGAGTCCTAACTCAAACCAAGCAAACAAAATTTCGTCCGAACCCAACCCGATCCAAATCACATTATCAAGTTTTGAGTCTGAAACTGATCCGAGCCCAACAAAATTCTGTCCGAAACTGACCTGAACTAGTCCATCAGCACCCAAAGTGCAGAATAAATAGTGCCAGTTATTTTATCACAGTTACAATAATCGTCGTCATTAGAACAATAAAATAAAATAAGGTTGAGTAAATAAAATAAAAAAATAAAGTAAAATTATCTGATTTAATAAAATTCAGCTTAAACTTCACTTTAATCACACTTTATTCATGAAGCAGTGCTTTTGAACCACATCACAGTGTTTTGGATAAACTGGTTTTGGATAAACTTTCCATAACTGGCTGCTCTATTCAATGTGCATCCATTTCTCATGTTGACCTCTGTGCAAAATTCACGAGTGGGTTACTGCAGCAAAGAGGGTACAAACTCACTATTAATACCCTCGATTTCAGAAGAAATGTTGGATTAGCAGGTGTCTACAATGTTCTGGACGTATAGTGTAGATATAAACCTTACTCATATTCACTCATGGTTCAGCTTTATGAATGAATATTAATTTTTATGGCTTATTTTTTGATAGGTACTCTTACTATCAGCATTACTGGAACATCCTACAGTCCTCTGCCCAACCACCTCAGCAGGAGAGGGGACCGCACAGGAGCTTATGTCGATTCTCACCTTTACTCCACAGAAGTCCATCAGTCTTAAGTGTCACATTATGCTGGCTGTTACCAATGTATTAATATGCACATCTTGCTTGGCCAGCCGAACGAAGGTAGCGGAGGACTACTTAGACTTTCTGTTTAAAACAATCCAGGACACAAATGATAACACAGGTGGGCTAGCTCTCCAACCTCTCAGGGCCACTGCCTGTGACTGTCTGAGAGAAATGGAGTCTTGCAACCCTGGCCTCCTCTCCCAAAAGCTGGAAGCTTTGTACTACCTAAAGCAACAAGAAACTACTATTCTTCATCAGTCTTATTGCACATTGTATACACAGAGCCTCAAAAATGCGATTCGTCTCTTGACTCGAGAAAAGGATGTAGATACTTCAAAGCTTAGGAGTGTCTTGGGTGGAAATGAAGGCTTTGCTTGGAAGACTACTGGGTCACCATTATCCATGTTGCCATTCAACATGATGACGCAGGTTCCACAGCTGTCAACAATGCTGGATTGCAAGGATTTGAAGTCCATATTGTCCTTGCTACTAGAGGAGTCTTACCTGATGACTCCCATCTCACAGGCTCTCTTGCTTCGAGGACTCATAGAGATTGTTGCCATGGTACCAGCCATCTCTCCGGCAATATTCAAGTCTCAACTGTTGCGACTTTTTGGAACCGCGGAGGTTGAGCTGATGCACGCTACGCTGTTGATGAAAGGCACGTTCACAGATAGCCTCTTCACTGCTGAGGACGAGCATTTCTTGATCAAGCGCCTTGTGGGCATGGCACAACATCCGCTACTGTCAATCCCTGAGAAACTCTTTTACATGGATTGCATTCTTCACTTCCCTGAGAATAGACCCATCTCTAGCAGTGGAGAAGAGTGCCTGCCTGTGCTTGTCACTCCTCGACTTACTTTATCTCTCCTCCCAACTGTGTTTAACGACAGTGCTACCATGCTTTGTAGACTAAACCTCCTCTGCTTAGTACACCTAGAAGCTGATGAGGAAGAGGAGGGCAAAGGATTGGCCTACTTATTCGATCACCTGATGGCCCTGCTCAAAATAGTAGACAATCAGGGGAGCAGGGAGATGGTGGTGACATCTTTCAGAGCAATCTTTATTTTTCTCATACACTTCAACTACATGGAGAAATTCTCAGAGAAGCTGGTCAACAGCTTATGCGACCTGTATTCCAGACACTGTCGCCTTGCTCCACATCTGATCAATCTTGCAGACCGAATCCAGGAATGCTTAGAAGACTCGCTTTGGTCAGTGCAGTTGTTGAAAGCCCTTCAAAAGTGCATTGTAGAAATGCCCCCATTGCAGCTGACCCTTCAGGATTTGAGGTGGCATCTTAAAATCTTGGGACGAGTGGCGCAAGAGAGTCAGATTGTCCAGAGGAACACAATCTGCCTCCTCCTCAACGTTCTCATCAATTCCAATCTTTGTGAAAGGAAGAACTGGCAGGTTGGCAATGCCATTCTTGCGGTTTGTCGTAACTTGCTTCAGCACCCCACCCTGAGCCAGATGTTTATTGAACTGGCAGACCTCCTGCAGCACATGACCAAACACTATGAGGACACAGACATTCAAGACCATGCGCGGTTCTATTACACCCTGCTTACCAACCTGTCTTGGGAAAAGCTTGCAGGTGTCCTTGCCAAAGGACCTGAAGGAGGGCAGGCCAAAGTCCGATCGCTGTCGGCCATTGTTGCAGAAAATGATGGCGTCACCAGTTGCTTGACCGTTCATCAGACTGAGGGATGTGTCCTGCAGCTAGTGAAGATTCATGAGCCTGGCTCTCAGCGTGCAATTACAGGTGCAGATAACCTGGAAACTGTGGACAAGAAAGATTTGTTTGAGGTTTACCAAGAGCAGTTCAAAACCCCAGGCTTTGCCTCTGAGATCACGTTGAGGTACAACCTGACTCATACAAAAGTGACAGATCCAAGGTTTGACAAAATGTTTACAATTTGCCTGCACTTTGACTTGAACGACTCTCACTATGTGGAAGTGAATGACATCTACGTTCCATGCCTCTTCAGAGACAGAAAAGCCCCTCAAGTTATCTTGAAGCTGAAGCCGTATGAGCCGTACCCAACAAGTCTACGACTGAGTGCCATTTTCACAACAGAAGATGGCCTCTCTTGGCACACTCAATTGCCTGATCTGAAGGTTTCATTCCCAGAAATATTCCTCCCAATACCTTCGCCACTGGGTGCATCACATGAGTTCAAGGAGGAAGTGTTTGACCTCATATGGGAAGCTACATCCTCAGGGGATCCTGACAGTTCAGCAACTAGCCTGTTTTGTTTTAAGACTGAGAGTGACAAACTAGCTGATCTGATGAAGATTCATTTTGAAGGTTACCAGATTGCAGAGTCACAGGACCAAAATGTATGGAAAGTCTTATTTTTCCTTCCGCCTCGATTTCATGTCCTGTTGAAGATCAGACAGGCTGAGGATGCTGTTCAGGTCAGCATTGCAACGGACAACTGGGAGCTGTTGCCTCATGTGAACTCTTACCTCCAAAATATAACTGCCCACTGCAACATGACAACAACCTGAAGGTTAGACGGAGTTGTAGTGAAACGGTAACCAATCTTGGACCTTGAGTAACCTTGCCATGCACAGCCAAATACACCAATTTTAAACTCAAGAAGGGCTTGTTTATTGGGTCATGAGTTGAGTCAGGCAGCGAGATTGCTTAAATATTGTAGCATCATAGCCATTGATTTTAATAAAATGAATTAGCTGTTTTATCATGTTTGTATCACAGTTTAATTGCACTTACTAATTATATTTTGATATTTTTGCAATGTCTCATTAGTCTTGTGCTATTTGTCATTTAGCTATGTGCAAATCTCTATACAGTAGGGATGGCATGTATGGTAAAGTAAGTCATAATTGATGTAATAAAATGTCATTGTGTGCTGCTTTATTTCAGTTCTTCTTAATAACAGTCCCTAATTCAAGCAACAAGACCTCAGCCAAACTCAGTATGTTATTTAATTAGGCTGTACAAAACTTTCCACAATGCAGACAGTGATCTGTAAACAGGAGTCCATTTAAAGCTATACTATGTAAGTTTTGGGGATTTGCACACAATGTGCATTTAGAAATGTCGAATATGCTTCCCTGAGTGGATGACTCTGAATATTTTGAGGGTGTTGATGTGGCGTTGGTGAAGGACGTGTCTTGTGAAGATGTAAGTGAATTATCTACTATTGTCGTATCTTCACCTGTTCCATTTGAGACCTAACATTGAGCCAGACCTTCTTTATGAACTTGTACGTGACGTTTATATGTAAAGACGTAAGAAGGGAAAAAAACTCCCGCAAAAATTTGACAAGACACCTCTAATTTTTTAATTATTATTTTAGGTTTTACAGGGTGACCGGCAGCAGCATGCACACCATAGTGTAGCACGTTCTTTTTTCTCCTGACTCAGTAAGGCAACTACTTTTCAATTAAACAATAACATTGTGCAGCGTTAACACAGGTAACAATTATGAAAAAGTCGACAAAATGTCAACAATTTAAACATATACCCATAAATCTAGTTTTCTAACACTTGCTAGGTCCAGTGTCTGGAGACCAAACAGTTTCAAGGCATGATCCAAATAAGACAGTATTTAATTTTGTCCCATTAACGTTACACCATGTTTTTCAGTGTTAAAATCAATTGTAAACGCTTTGATCTCAGTCCAACGTGAATTAATTCCAAAACCTTTCATTCAGGTCCATTCAAGACCAGTGGCCTCTTTGAAAGGCCACATCATAAGACAGTCCCTGATCAGTGTCGTCTCACTTCGAGAGGCCCTCAAAGTTGGGCCCTGTGCATGCAGGCAGAGCTGCTTGACTGTTCAGTAGCTTGTCCATTATACTGATTTCAGCATCTCTCTTTTCAACCTCTTCTACTGGAGTCCATGACATATCGTGCTGCAGTTTGTAGGCCCCAAGGAACTTGTGTGGACAACTAGGACCCCATTCCTAAAAATCAGAAAAGGAGAATCAGAATGATTTTAATTGGATTTTAATCATTTTTCATTAAAACTGGACACAATTTTACATGCTTCAATTTCAAATGCTGAAAAACACTTGTTTGCAAAGCCAAGTTTATGAGTGTAGTTTCATGCAGTGCTGGACACATTGCTGTCCACAACTGTAACAATGCCTCTATTTAGAAACAGCGCAATATAACTTTGTTGTCCGTTGACTGACAGACAACTTTAGACCCAACGTGTTAAGAATTTTTTTATTTTCTAAAATTCAGCACTAACCCAGTGAATACTTTACCTTAGGAGAAAGAATAGAGAAATAGCGCTGTCCAGATTCACGCATATACATATAGTACATATTTCCTGGCTTCTTCACAACATTGCAGGCTGCATGGTGGAGATCAGCATCTCTCTTAGCATCCTCCAACACCTGAAATGTAGATGTTTTTCTTTAATTGTTCACAACTAGGGCTGACTATCAAAATTCAATAGTGTCATTCAATACAGTATTTAAATTTCTATACAGTCAGGGTCTTATCAGCATCTGTAGGCCACTAAGCATGCACTTGCCAAAATCTAGGCTGCTGATTGGCTTTTTAAATTACATTCTGAAAGCATGTTATTAACATTGTTTTATTGTTGTTGTGATAATCATGAGCATATAATGAATATCATTGTACTTAAACAATACTGACCAACAGCATGCTTCATTACAAAGAGCATAATTAGTCCTCTTTAACTGGATTTAGTGCAGTATAGAACGTGAAACGTTCATTTAAAATCATTATACCCTGAGTTTTTAACATGACACTACTAGTGCATTGTGTCTGGTGTCAAAATATCATGTGTCATCATATCGTGTATCTAGGGCTGGGCGATAAAATGATAACGATAATTATCATGATATAATTTTGCCTCGATATAACTATAAGAAATGTTTTAGAATTGTTTGATATAATAGAGCACTCTCACACTTCCATGTTCTAGCGACAGGCCTGGTGGCGTTTTCTACTGCAAGGAAAGTGACACTACTCTGCGGTCGCCATGAGAGGGCACACTTCCGAGTTTTTCCGATCTGTTCTCCTGTGACCGAGTGTGAGTGACGAGATAAGTGGCGTAGTTAACTATACTGTCCTACAGTGAACTCACCTCTATCCTAACATAACAAGCTAACCCTATCAAGCTTTAGCAGCATTAAACCACGTCTGCTCCACACAACTACAGCACTGTTACAGCGCTCAGACAGTGATATTTGAATATTAGTGCATTCCCAAACAACAAAAGTGAAAGAAACAAGTGGGTTCATGTTAATTACAGTCCTGATTTAAATGAAAGTAAACTGAGGATACTGTATGTGGGGCATTGGAGAGTGGGAGAACGCTAGCTTCTCAGGCTAGCTGTTTTTAGCAGCTGGCTAACTTGAAGCAGCGCTCGCACAGCACGGCTGAATTGATGTTACTGTAGATCAAACAAGACAAAAAAGCACCGATTTCAATTTAAACGCATCTAAAAAGAGAGCTCTATTTGTCTGGTGAGAGATTCGCGCTGCAGTTAATGCTTTTACACAGCGAGCGTCAGATATATTGCGGTTCAAACTCTCAAACTACTACGATAGAATAGAGAAATCTAGTCGTCGCTAGCTGGTGTCTGAATACTGTGATACGCTCTGACATGGATGTGGTAGGAGTGATGGCAGTAAGACGGTGTGATCCATCACTGACCTACCGCTAATGTTTGCTGTTTGTATTAAACTGATGTTGTTGAGAAACTAAACAGTTCAGCACTTGTACCCAGATAGCCCAGCACTCATCACCAGACAGCTAAAAACAGTCTGTTTTCTATCTTAAATTATGACTATAACAAAAATTGCAGCCGTGCTTTTGCAGCTGGTAAAAGCAGCTGACCAGAAACTTTCTCCCACTGTCCCATGACAGATTTGTGAAATGTTCCACTGTTTGGTGAGTGTTTGACCATAAAGGATAGTTTAAAACAGCAATTAACCACCAAGGAGCAAAAATCAGCCTTTAAACTTGAAAGAAATAATGATGACATTTATTGTGACGTATCGATATCGACACATATAAACATTTTTTATCGTGATAAGATTTCTGGCCATATCGCCCAGCTCTACGTGTATCATAAAAATGTCTTTAAGTATCATGATCTCCACTGCGGTAAGTAAATATTACCACTTAGAGCATTTTTTGGTTTAAGCCACACCCACTTTTGATGTGTTGTTTAAAGGAGTATGTCGAAAAAAAGGCATTCAAAATGTGTACTGAACATTTTTAATAATATGCAGTCCTATTCACAGCATACATACACTGATCAGGCATAACATTAAGACCTTGTTTCTACACTCATTGTCCAGTTTATCAGCTCCACTTACTATATAGGTGCACTTTGTAGTTCTACAGTTACAGACTGTAGTCCATCTGTTTCTCTGCATACCTTGTTAGCCCCCTTTTACCCTGTTCTTCAGTGGTCAGGACCCCCATGGACCCTCACAGAGCAGGTACTGTTTGGGTGGTGGATCATTCTCAGCACTGCAGTAACACTGACGTGGTGGTGGTGTGTTAGTGTGTGTTGTGCTGGTCTGAGTGGATCAGACACAGCAGAACTACAAAGTGCACCTATATAGTAAGTGGAGCTGATAAAATGGACAATGAGGTGGTCATAATGTTACGCCTGATCGGTGTACTTGTAAACTGTAAGTGAAAGACATGAGGAAATTAATGTCACCATCGTATTAGGTCATTTTAATTACCTTTCTAGCTTGCTCCTGCAGGTATCTTATCTGGTCAGCGATGACGGTCAACCTGTTGCAAGCATTTGCTCTGATAAATTCATCTCCCTGGGGGGAAAAACACAGTGAACAACAGATACAAAGTAATGTTTAACTATAGAGGCTTAATATTAAAACTCAGCTTACCTTCTGAACTTGCTGTGCTAAAGCAACAAGGTCCATCGGATCTCCGACTCGATTGGTCTGGTAGGTGTTCACCAAAACCACTCCACTTGGATTACTGCTGGTTTCCACCAAAGTGACTGAAATATTAAAAGTTGTAAAACATTGAAACAGCAGCAGTATTAAAATAACGGAAACTACTTTTGCTGTAAAGACATGATTTGCTAACAATTTATGCCTCTAAAAATATTAAAAAGGTGTTTTTGTTCCCCAAATGTATCGCTACCCACTGATAAGTCAAGAAATTTCTGTTGTTATCTACTTTACTACACCAACAAGTCAAAACAGGATGGGTTTACTTCAGTGTGGACAAATGGTCATTAAAAAGGTTTTTATAGTATTAATTCCTGATTCTTACACTGAGAGAAGAGCCGACTCTCCACCTAATTCCTTCAGTGCTTTATAAAATTAATTGTGCTCAATGTAAGACAGCAGTTAAAGCATCTGTATTCATTACTAGCACTAGATAACTACTAGAGGTCACACTGAACGGGGGTGAAAAGTACGTTTTGAAATTTTAGAAATGTTTCCTATTCGTGGTGCAGCTAACACAAAGACCAAATCATCGCAAGTGGTACAGCCAGCTTTGGGTTGATAACAGATATCATCAAATATCACAATAATTTAAAAATAATTTGAATAAGCGGTGATGTTATGCAAATTATTTTTCTTTTTTAACTCTTTCACATTCAATGTTTTTTTTTTGTTTGTTTTTTACTGCTTTGCTTTTATTCAACCTTTTGCTTTAACCTCTTAATCACCAGGGTATATTTTGGTTTGTCCATCTGAATTTACATGACCAAATCGTAAGGCAAATTATTCAGTAACTGCATGAAATAAACGTATATTTTTATTTTATTTATTTATTTTTTGTAAAAGCTCCCCTCAAATTAACAGAACATGTGTTTTATGATCATATACATATCGCTATATGCTTACAATTTACTGCCGAAAGCCAAAAATCTTAGACACTCCTTGTATTATTTTATTAAAATAGTTTTTACAGAGCAGATCACTGAAGAGATGCCATCTGTTTATAGTTTATAGCCCAGATTTGTGGAAAAATGGGTCGACTTTTGGTAGAAAAAAAAATTGTGAGTTCAGCTTCTTTTATTATAAAGTTTTAAAATTATATCACCCATCTATTTGACTGGAAAGAAGACAGTTACAGCTCTCATACGACCCCCACCTTTAGAATGTAGCTTATGAAATATGAAAGTTATGAAGAATATGATGAAGTGCGTTTTGGAACCACCGGTGGTCTCAAGGAGTTAAAGAGGTTAAACAGCCATTCTAATCTAGTCAGTTCAAACATTTGTATGAAAATAAGTGCACAAACAGATCATCTTCAAGTAATTAACCACACATACATACTTTAAACGCAGATTATTACTCTGGCAGAGAATGCTGGGAAACATGAACACCAAACAAGTAAACTCCTCTATATGAGATCTACTTTCTCATAGAGAGTAAAATGGACGAGACTGGGTGCCAATGTGGCCAATATGTTGGCAATACTTTGGTTTCTAACCAAATGAACGTTATGTAACAGTCACATGTTGTGTTACAGGCTGCCTGTGTAGTTATAATATAGTTATCATTACAAACTAATAATAATAATTAACAAAAATAATATTTATTATACAGCTTGGTCCTATTAATTGAAAAAATATACAGTACAGTCTTAAAGCCTCAGCCAACTACAGAAACTTATTTTTATTCCACTGATTAGGACGGTAGTTCCCAAAGTTGGTCCTGGAGACCCCCTGATCTGCATGTTTTTGTGTTTTTAACTCTAACACACCTGATCCAGCGCATGAGAGGCTTGATAATCAGTTAACGAGTTGATTCAAGTGTGGTAAATGAGGGTGACTGTAAATATATGCATGGTGTATACCATGACTAGGAAACTACAGGGTGATTCAAAAAGATTCATCCGATTTCAAAGCTGCATATTTTTATAACCGTGAGGCACCTAGGAACCAATCACAATCCAACTGAAAGAGGGGGTCATAGTTTCTGACTGTCAGTATGGCAGTGAACCTCCAACAGCTCAGAGCATTCGTCGTTGGTACCAACAGTTCCAAGAAAAAGGTCAGCAGCATCACCAGATCTCATGCCGTGTGACTGTTTTTGTCGGGGTACGTTAAGGATTCTGTTTATGTGACACTCCCAACAACACTGGATGATCTCCGAAATCGCACTGAAAGAGCTGTGAGTGCAGCGACACCTGACACGCTCAATCGAGTATGGGATGAGTTTGACTATGGTGTTGATGTTGTCTGTACAGCTGGAGGAGGTTCATATTGAGCACTTGTACAATTACATATAAACTTTATGCTCAATTAAACCATTTACAGTTTACTGCATTGTTCTGTAATGAATCACAAGTGAAATAAAGCAGTTTCAAATTGGATTAATCTTTTTGAATCACCCTGTATTTTCTGAAAAAAAAAAAAATCTATATTTTGTGTCATCTGCCTTATAATCACAGACTGCCTGTTATCTATTCTATAAGCTTCTGCAGAGTCAGAAAATTATTTAATTGTATAATATTTCAGATCTTTTAATGAACAGTAAAGTCCTTAAATGGCGCAGGGTTTCACTTTTTTTCCACTTATTTGTCCCTGAAGTTAAAGCTGAGGTTTGGATCCTGATTCTCAACGTTTCCCAACAATATTTTTAATGAAATTGCTTAAATAATGTGTTATTAAATAATGAGTATCAACAATCTGCGAAGTAATTTGTTGTGAAATGACGAAACCAGTGGTTTACGGTGGGGTCAGACCTTTGGACCCTGAATTGTCATCACTAGAAAGCGAAGCAGCATCGCTCCACTCTGTATTACAGACGGCGCTGCATAAACACTGATTTATTCTATACAGGCACCAGTCTGGACTCCTGATTTATCCTCTATCCACCCACCTGGTTAGACACTACTAACATATGACGAGGCTGAAGTTGCATTATTGGACTTTTCCGTTCCACCTTAAATGGTCCAGCAGTTCCATGTCACTGCTTCACCACTTAAGGTGGAACTGAAAAGTAACTTCACTGCTAACTTCAGCTTTGTTGGCTACCAGATGTTTCGGTCTTACCTGTGGTGGATTTGTCCGGCTGTTCAGGCAAACAGACAGTTTTATCCATTTTCACAGCGAACTGTTAACGGTAACTTAGTGAGGTTAAACTCTGCTAAACAGAAACAACAAGAGACGCTTAACTCGTTTTATAACCGGTACAGTTTCATAACTTCACAGTCCTGATTAGGTAAAAACACACTGGCAGAGCCGAGACGTGTAGAATGCCTGTCTAGATATCGGAACGTGGAGACTAAATTTTGTTTTTATTTTTTATTTGAAACGTTATGAACGTTATCCAGCTATATATTTTTTTTAAAAATATAACATATATAACAGCGCAGTGCCTATTTTGGAAAACTCAATCAGGCACGTGCTGGACACACAGGATGAGGGTTACTGGGAAATGTAGGCAGAGTTGCAGCGGAACTGTTTAACATTAATACAATTAATGAAATTAAACTAAAACAAATAATAAAGAAATAAATGTTACTTTATTGCCTCGTTTTACTTTTTAATCATTTTTTAAACCAGATATTTTACATAAAATGGTTTATGATAATATACACTTTTTAAATAATAGTTCTTCAAGGGTTCTTTAGTAAAGGGAATGGTTCTATTTAGAACCATGCGTTCTTTACAGAACCATTTCGTGCTTAAATTGTTCTATGCGTGGTGAAATGGTTCTTCAGATTTATGTGTTGTACATGGTTCTTTATATGTAGGCTAGAACCTTTTTGAAAATGGTGTATATAGCACCAAAAGGGTTCTTCTATTGTGGCAAACTTGACATCATAACAGTAGGAGAACACTTTTTGGTGCTGTACAGAACAGTTCAGATGTATAACATGAGCTTTCACCTTTTCTGCTAGTAAAAAAAAGTAAATTTGAGTGTAAATGTTGGAAAATAACTACCTCATGTGCCTCAATGTGATCTATGTGCAAAAAAAAAAAAAGGATAAATATTTTGTTGACTTTTATTGCTTTCTTTTCATGTGTGGCAGCACATCTTTCAACAAGCACCTGAATGGAGTGAAGTCAACCATCTGACAGGCCTATATACCACCTTCCAACAAGCACCCGGACACAGCATTAGAACAACTAAATAAAATTATCCCATTCATCTTGTACTATATTAAATGACGCCTGATACAACATTATTTCAGTTTACAGGACGTTTGTAAAATATTCCTTTTTAATGATACCAAGACATGAAAAAAGACTATATGCAAAAACCACGTCTACCTTTTCTGATATAGTTAGTAAAATCCCTGTCTTACATCACAATGTAGTTCAGTGTTCATTTAAGACCAAACACACACAAACACACAAATAAGCCCTGTAACTTTAGGAAAAAACCCTCCTGAACACTTTATCTCTGGAACTGACTGTCCATCAGGACCAGAAACTGAATTTACGGTCCATATATGAAGATCTCTGCACAGGCAGCCCTCAGCCTCTTTATCTCTTTGGAACCACCGGTGGTTCCAAAACGCACTTCGTCATATTCTTTACTTCATAACTTTCATATTTTATAAGCTTCATTCAAAAGGTGGGGGTCGTATGAGAGCTGTAACTGTCTTCTTTCCAATCAAATAGATGGGTGATGTCATTTTAAAACTTTATAATAAAAGAAGCTGAACTCACAATTTTTTTTTCTACTGAAAGTCGACCCATTTTTCCACAAATCTGAGCTACAAACTGGATCTCAGATGGCGTCTCTTCAGTGATCTGCTCTGTAAAAATTGCTTTTATAAAATAATACAAAGAGCGTCTGAGATTTTTGGCTTTTAGCAGTAAATTGTAAGCATATAGCAATATGTGTGATCATAAAACACGTTCTGTTAATTTGAGGGGAACTTTTACAAAAAAAACAGAAATTTACAATTATTTTGTGCAGTTACTGAATAATTTGCCTTATGATTTGGGCATGTAAATTCAGAAGGAAAAAACGGAATATCCCTACGAGCATAAGAGGTTAAATGAGAGCCTATACAGCCTGCTGTTGACTATAAACGCCTCCGGCCTTGGCTGTCCTCAACCACAGGTTGACTTGGGACTAATGAACTGATAAATAAAAAGTGGCAGCAAAGGCTTTATATTACTGAAACTAAATTTAACAGTGAGGCTTTTTTGAGGATTTTAACCTTCAGTACCTGAGCAGCACAAAAATACACTTAGGGAAATCATAATTACTGCCAGAAAGCTGCTGGGTTTTAATGTGACATGCTTTGAAGACATCTACAGATGCAGATCCCCCAGCAAAGCTGAGAAAATGCATTATCGATCCCAGGCACCAGCGTTTTACAAAATTAGACTTGTCACCTGGTGGCTGCAGGTTTTAATTCAATGCCTTTTAAAGAAAGAAGGTAAAAACCACAAGTAATTACATTACAGGGGAAATGTGCACAAAATAAAAGGGAATTCCACTCATTTTTCTGAATTTTTGCATAATTTCAACCAATCCAACCAAGTTACTGAGAGGTATATATAAATAAAATGTTAATGAGAAACTTACAGAGTCAGAATTGTTCACAGTGGTGGTGATAGGAACCAGACGTCTGAAGCATTTAAGGCCTCTAAAAGCTCCCTCACAGAAAGCCATTATATGAGATAGTTAGCAATACGCTGCCCGATTCCTAAAACATTGTTTTATGTTAGTTTTTTAATAAGGTTTTGGGCATTCATAGTGGAAGTGTAGATGCAGGGTGTCGCTAGGCAAACTGTCCCCAAAGAAAACTTTATTTTTTTCAGATTGTTCACTATTTTACAGTCATCAGTGTTACATATAAACACTCAGAAGTCATGTGTAGGTTCACTGACTGTTTCGGATAGTGAATAAAATCTGGTGTAGTTATGACGTCATGCTTGTAACAATAGAGAAACCCTTTTTGGTACTACATAGAACCCTTTTCAAAAAGGTACTACATAGAACCACTTACAGCATGTTCTCCATCAATCTGAAGAACGCTTTCACGACGCAAAGAATCCCCTAATCATGCCAAGGGTTATTTAAGTGTTCATAGTTTTATATAGAACCATTTTCTTTACTAAAGAACCATTGGTTTTAAGAGTGTAGTGGAATTTTAACTAATGTAAGTTAATAAAAAAAAGCTATGGAGAAGTTTGACTTATTTTAGGCTGACCTGACTTTTTTTACTGTTTTAGCTCCACTTTCAGCAACAAGCTTACCCCTCATGTTGGAACCCCAGGCATGGGATCTCCAGTCTGCCTCAACAACCCTCAACAAATGGGCCATGGTGCTACAAATGGGCCATGGTGCTAAAAAAAAACACTACCATTACCACACTCACACTCACACTACAAAAGCTCCTTTTAGGCTCACAGAAAAGCAGCCAACGTTAGCATTTAACATTGCCCGGTAAATACATTGTCCTGAAGTTCTCCTCAATTTAGCTTAGTCAAAAATTCTATTTAAAAACTCAGATTTTTTAAGTACTCTAGTCTCAGTTAGGTCAGCATAAAAGTTTAAGTTGCTTACAGCGAATGTTCTTGCCTTATAAATTGAAATAGCTACTCAGTTCTTTCCCCCAGTTTAGTAAAAGGATAATTCCACTGATTTTCCAAACTTTCAGCATAATCAAATCATTAAGATGTAAACAAAGAAGTCATTCAGAGTGTTTTGGTGTGAAATTTTCCATTCTAAAGAAAGTGAGGGTCAGAAGTGTTTACAGTGGGGGTGATAGGAACCAGACATCTGAAGAGTTTAATGCCTCTAAAGCTCCCTCACAGAAAGTTACTAACGTTATATGAAAAGGTTTTGGATGGTTATTTAATGCAAATTCAGTCAAGATTCATTCACATACACCTCGTAAGGTAATACTGAATTTATATCAAACTCTTAAATCAGTGAAATTCCCCTTCTACTAAACTGGGGGAAAGAACTGAGTAGCTATTTTAATTTATAAGGCAAAAACATTCGCCGTAAGTAACTTAAACTTTTATGCTGACCTAACTGAGACTAGAGTACTTAAAAAATCTGAGTTTTTAAATAGAATTTTTGACTAAGCTAAATTGAGGGGAACTTCAGGACAATGTCTTGATTGGGCAATGTTAAATGCTAGCATTGGCTGTTTTTCTGTGAGTCTAAAAGGAGCTTCTGTACATTAAGCATAAGTGGGAAACCCAACTGCAGACAGAGGTTTCAGTAGAAAATTGGAAAGATATCTGTTCCGAGTGTCATTTAATTACCTGCTCTAGTAGCTGGAGGGCATTCAAATGGAAGCTCATTGCTAAATACTTCAGAACACCATATATAACCAAGAGGATTGGCTCATCTTCATCGAGTAGTTGCTGGAGGAATTGTGGGGAAACTGAAGCGAACTGAGGAAGTATTGCGAGGATATCTACAATGCTGTTAACTCTGTCTTTGATATTCCAATCCTTAAAGAACGTTTAGTGTCATTGTTAGTTGTCCACCAGAGATTTGATAATAGGTGCCAAACCTACCTTCTCCAAATTTTATTTGTAGCAGCCATTAAAGGTATAACTGTTAATTGGCTGAAAACTGCAGCCCCAACATATGAGTCAGCATCTATGGGAATAATATGGAAGAAATAACACATAATTTGAGACTACAGAAGAAGAAATTTGTTTAAAGTTGGAGTCCAGCAATGTCAATAATGCTTTGAAAATGTGGTATAATTGAATTTAAATTGAATCTCCTCCCTTCCATCCAGGTTATTGTTTTTCAAGTCTGTTGTTAGTTCTTGACAAGTATATGTGAACATCAGTGTGAATGTATGTACACCGATCAGGCATAACATTATGAGCACCTCCTTGTTTCTACGCTCATTGTCCATTTTATCAGCTCCACTTACTATATAGGTGCACTTTGTAGTTCTACAGTTACAGACTGTAGTCCATCTGTTTCTCTGATACTTTGTTAGCCCCCTTTTACCATGTTCTTCAGTGGTCAGGACCCCCATGGACCCTCACAGAGCAGGTACTATTTGGGTGGTGGATCATTCTCAGCACTGCAGTAACACTGATGAGGTGGTGGTGTGCTAGTGTGTGTTGTGCTGGTCTGAGTGGATCAGACACAGCAGTGCTGCTGGAGTTTTTAAACACCTCAGTGTCACTGCTGGACTGAGAATAGTCCACCAACCAAAAATATCCAGCCAACAGCGTCCTGTGGGCAGCGTCCTGTGACCACTGATGAAGGACTAGAGGATGACCAACACAAACTGTGCAGCAGCAGATGAGCTATCGTCTCTGACTTTACATCTACAAGGTGGACTGACAAGGTAGGAGTGTCTAATAGAGTGGACAGTGAGTGGACACAGTGTTTTAAAAACTCCAGCAGCACTGCTGTGTCTGATCCACTCAGACCAGCGCAACACACACTAACACACCACCACCACGTCAGTGTTACTGCAGTGCTGAGAATGATCCACCACCCAAATAGTACCTGCTCTGTGAGGGTCCTTGGGGGTCCTGACCACTGAAGAACAGGGTAAAAGGGGGCTAACAAAGTATGCAGAGAAGCAGATGGACTACAGTCTGTAACTGTAGAACTACAAAGTGCACCTATATAGTAAGTGGAGCTGATAAAATGGACAATGAGTGTAGAAACAAGGAGGTGGTCATAATGTTATGCCCGATCGGTGTATGTCCGTATGTTGTGAATCCTTCTATGATCCTTTAATACATAATTAGTTAAGATTCGTTCCCATTTAACTGAAAACGGTGTTTGTAACACTGATAAATAAGTTAATTCGCCTCTGGAGGGTTTAGTCAGTCAATCCCTGGGCCTGCAGTAGATGGAGCACTACAGGGCCCGGTTTCCAAAGCAGCCCCCAAACTAGCTCCACCTCCAGCGACAAAGTTTCCCCCTTCCAGGCAGGAGCTGTGGATGTGGTGTCTCCAGTCTGCTCCTGCAGAGCCCTCAGTCTCCAACATGTGGGCCACGGCGTTCCTAGCGACCCTAACTTTGTCTGTTTTGGACTACACCTCAGGTACTGTGCAGTTCAATGGGGGTTTGGAGCCGTACGACCTTCTGTTTGATAATGCACTGGAAGCCTATTACAGGCAGGACTGGCTGTCGGTCATCCTGCACATGGAGCGGGCTCTGAAGCATAAGAGCATGGTCCGTAAGGTCCGGACCGAGTGCCGGCTGGCCTGCGCCAACCACACCGCCTTCGAGGAAGCCATTCCCGGCGTCGGGGCGCCGATTCCTGGGGCTGGCTCGGTGGAAGATTTAGGGTTTTTCCAGAAAGTTTTGAAGCGGGCGGAGTGTGTGAGCTCCTGCGAAAGCGAGAAACTGGGACCACCTTCTCTGCACAAAGTTGGCGACGATATTGAGCTGGAGTTCAAGAAGAGAACCCCTTACAATTACCTGCAAGTGGCTTATTTCAAGGTAAAGTGCTTTTAAAGGCGTCTAAGTTCAGCAGGAGAATCACTGCTGCTCAGTAACGTTAGATGGAGGCGAGTCATCATTGGACCGTTTGCTACCATAGAAGTTTACAGTTTATCTCCACAAGGACACTTCTGGGCAGATGCCGGGGAAAATGTTATGTTTTTGTCACTATTTCACAAGATAAACGGCCGTTTATTTGACTGTTTCTGACTCGTTTTGGTGAATCTCTTCCTCAGCCCCCCCCAGCCCCCCAAACTGAGGTTTAGGTGCCACGTCTTTAGGTCTTTAGGTGGAGTCTAACGATAGCAAAGCGGTCATGTTGAGACACATTTCTGTTGAATACTTTAGAAACGCTTTTTCCTTTAAATGATCCAAACCACTGGCATATTAGAGTATAGATGTGATATTAAGACTAGTTTTTATTCCTCTGTTCACATTTTGAGGCCTTTAAACAGCGAACAGGCTGTGGAGCTAAGCTCTGCCTGCAGGCCTGCACGGTAGTGTAATGACTGTCTTGAGACTCTCTCAGAGAAACAGAGCAGATCTAGATTGTATCAGTGAAACATCACTGACTTCTCAATTCTTTCTCCTAAAACTTAGGAGAAAAGAGGAGATGAACACCAGCATTGTGAGAAGTTCTGGTGATGAATGAGAAAAGCTTGAGTTCTCCTTCTACACTTATGGACTGCTGAGAGAGCTGAATTAGAGCAGAGCTATAAGAAAAAAATATGAGATCTTATACTTTTCTTATGGAAATATTATTCAGCTAAGAGTCCGGATCCATACGTGAATTAAGTTAATCTCTATGTGTGAGAATATTTTGATCAAATGAGAAAATCTGTTCATTTTCAGGAGCCAGATTTCATTATTAAGTCTATAACCTAAGAATAGCTCAACCGGTTTGCACTGAAGGCCATGTAGTTACTGAGTAATAAACCTTAGTATGTAATAAGCCTGGGGTTTTAAGGGGTTAAACATGTCTAGGAGAAGTGCAAGAGATTAAGAGGAGATCTCAAAGGCATATTCTTTGTAATGAAATTAATGTTTTAACAGATATGCCTATGCAAATGAACACTTAATGACATCATAAGATGTCCGAAAGTTAATGGACACCTTCTCATCCAGTGTTTCATCCAAAATCAATGGAATAAATAGGGAGTTTGTCCTTCTTTGCTGCAGTAGCAGCCTGAACCCTTCAGGGGAAGTCTGCACTAGACGTTGAACATTGATGTGAGAGTTTGATTGCACTCAACCACCAGAGCATTACTTATGTCAGGTACTCATGTCTTGATCACAAACATCACCTCATCCCAAATGTATTGTATGATGATCCACCTCTCCAGAGAACCTTTTTCACTTCATCAGCCTAATCATGAGGAGGTTTTTACCCCTCTAGCTGACATTCTGCATTGGGTATGGTGACCTTAGGCCTATGTACAGCTGCTCCAAAGCACCTTATTCTATTGCCAGTACTTTTCTATGGAGATTATACAAGCTGTGTGTGTCCAGTTGAACGCCTAAACATCATCCAACATGGATTAGAACTAATCCACATGTGAATTGAGTTAATCTATATGTATGGGAATATTGAGTGTTATTTTTCAGGAGCCAGATTTCATTATTGAGTGTCATGCTTTTATAACCTAAGAATAACTCAGCCGGTTTGCACTGAAGTCCCTGTAGTTACTGAGTAATAAACCTTAGTATGTAATAAGCCTGGGGTTTTAAGGGGTTACATTGGGTATGGTGACCTTAGGCTTATGTACAGCTGCTCCAAAGCACTTTATTCAATTGGCAGTGCTTTTCTATGGAGATAATACAAGCCGTGTGTGTCCAGTTGAACGGCTAAACATTAATGGGTGAACCGTAAAATAGCTAAATTCACTAATTTGAAGGGTTGTCTGGATACTTTTGGATATATGGTCTGTATTCTGGTTACATTTGGCTTAATTTCATCTTCCTGTGGATGCAGATAAACAAGCTCGATAAAGCTGTGGCTGCAGCAAATACATTCTACGTTGCGAACCCAGATCATTTGGAGATGCGGCAGAACCTGGAGTACTACAGTCTGATGGCTGGTGTGAAGGAGGAGGACTTCAAGGACCTAGAGGCCAGACCCCACATGGTAAGATGATGAAGCTATCCTACGCCTGCCCCTTACTGCCACCTTATGGAAGACCCTTCCAGTGTCAGTTATGTTATGGGGGAAATAAACATTTCTTTTCCATAAAGAAGTGAGGGAATGTTTTTTGTATTGGGGTAAAAGAGTTGTAGGTTTCCTTAGCTTGTATGTGTGTGTGGTAGGATGAAAGCTACTGACATGATGGTTATGCAAGAAATTAATTAAAGATTAATGTTCTGAAGTAGGTTAAGCTGGTTAAAGAAACCCCCCAGTGTAAGATGACTTTTTGATCAAATGATGGGGCCAAATCTAAACTCGACTTGTTTACTATGTGGCTTTGGTCTAATTAATTCTGAACTTTCATCTGGATTACTGCATTCCTGAGACTCATTACCCTGGAAACATTTGGAGTTCAGGTGGTCCAATTCAGAGGTGGCGAGCTCCGGTCCAGGAGGGCCAGAGTCCTGCACGGTTTGGTGGTTTTCCTACTCGAACACACTTGATTGAACTCAGCATATAATTGCTAGATTTAGTAGGTGTGTTAAGAGCAGGAAAATCACTGTGCTGGACACTTCCAGACTACCCTTGATCTAACTGTTTAGTTACTGGATAACAGCGCAAGAAAAGTTGGACAAGAACAGTTTTTTATATATATATATATATATATATATATATATATATGTATATATACATATATATATATACACACAATATTATGAAGTTATATGTATAATATTATTAAGTTATATATGTATACACACATATACACACACACACACATGATTATGGGGAGTTGTGGAGAGAGAAATGATAAAGTTAGATGTTTGAGACGACAAGCCACCCCTGGAAAAAGGAAAAGGGCCCCAAATTTTTTGTTAGGTTTTCATGAGGAAGTCACAAAGTTGCTGATTGTGTGCTGTGGCCTCTCATAAGCCTTACTTTGGTGGTTACTTTGAACGCTATTGCTTTATTATATTGTCATTGCCATTATTGATTCATTGATGCCATCCAACTAGTACTACTACTAATAATAATAATACAGTTATATGAATATAGATATTTGCAGTAAATGTGTTTACAATCACAGCATTTGACATTTCAGATGTTTCTATTTTATTATATTTTCTCTTTTTTAAAGCTTATCAAAATTGCAATCATTAAAACAATTTAAGTCTTCATTTCATTATAAAAGAAAATATCTTAATAAATCACTCTGGTAATTATTCGACATAAACAGTCATATGCACAGTTTGAGTGCCGCTGGTCAAATGACAAGTTTTTCCAAGTGAAAACAAGTTAACTTATCCTCTACAGAGAACATGTCTGCACATTTTAATGCAGGGTTGCTGTTGATTTTTTTACTATTGATATTGGAAACATTTTTAAACTCAGCAAATAAACAGAAACTAAATGTTTAATATTTAAGTGCGTTCTCTGTTGTGGATTTGTTCACTTACTTTGATTTAGAAATTAAATGAAACATGATTTTTTAAAATGCTGCATTCAGTAAAACGGCTTTCCGTCAAGTGGAGCACATATGTGGATGTGAAGCAGTTTCTTTGGTCTCTAGGTCAAAGTGGCAGTGCCAGTCCTCCTGTCATCAACACGTTAAGCCTCAGTTAATGGTGAAATGATGTGTTCCTCATGACATTTCAGGCAGAGTTTCTGGACGGAAAGAAGCTGTACAGCGCAGATGAGTTTGCCTCAGCCATCGATCACTTTGAGGCAGCTGTGGAAGAGTATTTCACTGCTGATGCTGAGTGCAGGGTGCTGTGCGAGGGAGCCTATGACTATGATGGATACAACTACATGGAGTACAAAGCTGACCTGTTCCAGTCTATCACAGGCAAGTGTTTCAGTGCATTTTTGTTTTTTATTTCTTTAATAACTGTGATGTTAAAAACCGAGTTTAGCACTCTGGTAGAAACACAGTCTCTCACACACGTCAGCAAATCCGTCAATGTGTGAATCACTTCTAATCTTAATACACATAAAAATAAAATAACCCCCCCAAAACACAGTAAGAAGGACGAAGCTGAAGTTGGCTTCCTGTTCGCCAGCTTCTTGTTCGAATTTTCCCGTTCCACCTTAAATGGTGCAGCTTCAGGCACCTGAATGTAACTGCTGCACCGTTTAAGGTGGAACAGGAAAATTTGAACAACAAGCTGGCAAATAAGAAGCTAACTTCAGCTTTGTGTAAGAAGGTGCTGACTTTAATCTATTATGAATATCTACACGGATTAAGGAACGCTGTAACCTACCTACAAAGCTTTAACCATCACTGCAAATAAATAACTACTACATACAGTTAAGACCCGCTGGACTGACTATTAAATGAAAGAAGCTTAATATAAAACCAGAGGAAAAACAATCACATCAACAGGTTCTCTGTGCATCACCAACCACACAGCCATATCTACATAAACATCACACAAACAATAAACATCACACAAACATGAGTGTGGATCACTGCGTTCCCTCCGTTATATAATCCTATCCCACTTTCTGAGAGTAATATTCCTGAAATAGTGTAATTTTGGACAGTATCTTTCTTAAACTGCCGCTCTCTAATGGCACTGAATGCAGTCCAGCAGCGATATTGACCGCCCTAAAATGGCGGCACTGTTGACGTGCCTGGCTGGACCCAACGTGGCATCTAAGTATGTATATCTATGGAAGCTACAGTGAAGTAGGCTGGATGGTGGTTGTAGTGATGTCTCTGGGGTATAATACTTCCACTCTACCCCTCTCAACTTGTAACCAGGCCCCCTTCTAAATAAGTAAAATTCTGGCAAAGCCATTAATGAGAAGTAATTAAAAATACAATTATAGCAGGCTTTTGTTACTGCAACTTCTAGGGGTTCATATTCTGTGTTTTATTTCATATCTTTGATTCAGATTGTTGCTGTGCTTTAATGTTTCACTACAGATCACTACTTACACATTCTGAACTGCAAGCAAAACTGCGCTGTAGAGCTGGCCTCCGTTGCTGGAAGAGACAAGCCAATCGAAGACTTTCTTCCTTCACATTTCAACTACCTCCAGTTTTCCTATTATAACAGTATGTTACTTCCTTTATTTTTCATATTGAACAAATTAGATTCTTCTTTAAGTGCACAAATCCAGTAAAACTGATGAGTGCGCTGGACCTAGCGCACTGTTTTCTGTGTACTGAACAATGTAGCTCACTCTCTCCACACCGTCACTCTCCCTGTGTCTCCCTCCCAGGTGAGCAATATGAGAAGGCCATTGAGAGCGCTAAAACCTACCTTCTGTTCCATCCTGAGGATGAGGTCATGAAGCAGAACTTGGCATACTACTCGGTTGTGCTCGGCGAGGACAAGGCTGCAGACATCTCGGCCAGAGAGGTGCTGACCAAACAGCCTCACAGTCAGCTTTTTGTTAACTGGAGCTGCAGGACTTTGTCCTCTTAGTCCAGAATTCATTTTCTGCTATTTGGCCTCTCACTTTAATGCCAACATTAACCTCAACCCAACACCTTAACCAAAAGGGAATCCTGATCTTTGCATTTTTAATTTTTTTAACCCTTGTGTGGTGTTGATGTGTTTGTTACTCATTGGTCTGGTGGACCCACCACATTATTGTTTTTAAATCAATACAGCCATAATAATTTATGTAAAAATACCAGATGTTTAAAATATCACAAGTGTCCAGCGTAGGGTTCTCCTTTAGCAGCTGTAGCCAGTCAGCAGCCTGTCCATGTTGTCCACCCTCACACACACATACACATATACAAACACATACACACACACACACACCCTCACACACACACACATATACAAACACATACACACACGCACACACACACACACACACATATACAAACACACACGCACACACACACACACACACACTAACAGCAGGCCATGTAGGAGGAGAACAGAGTGAAGGACACAGCACCTCCACACTTTTACTCTTACTTTCAGTTATTTAGATGTGTGAAATGCTCCATTCTAGAGAAACTTAACAACTGAAAAACATGTTTTATTTGGGGACTCTTTTGCCACAAAACACCCTACTTGTACCTGTCTGCCATAAATGAAGTTTAAAAATATATTTTATACCAAAACTGTATCTCAAAACTATCATAAAACAGTGTCTCAGACATCAGGCAGCGCATCCATAGCCATTTCATGTAATAGCTTTCTATAAGAAAGCTTTTAGAGACATTAAACACTCAGTAATTCTGGTTCCTGTCATCAACATCATCAACATTTTGATTCTTTAGGGACTATTTTGCATTACAACACCCTGCACATATCTCTCTGCCATGAAGCATTTTAGGCCAAAACTTGTGTCTCAAAACTATCATAAAACAATGTCAGGAGAGTATTTGTGACTATTTTTAGCTTTAAGAGGCATTAAACTCCTCCGACATCTGGTTCCTATCACCCCCAATACTGAAGCTGTACGTTTCTCTAGAATGGAGCATTTCACATCAAACCACTCTGAATGATTTTACATCTTAACGATTTAATAATTTTGATTCCCCTTTAAAAATCAGAGCATATGCAGATGAGCTGTAGAGGACCATCAAAATAGGATTACCAAAGTTTCAGTTATTCACCGTGTGCCAGTGCGAGGTGTATGTGAAACCTTCTAAAACTGAGTATGAGCCTGAGTATGAGTATTAAACATTCATGAGAAAAGTGAACATGAATGAATAAGAGATTAAACACGTTCAGAATATGTATGACGTTCCGCACGGGGTTGACGCCGTTACATGATTATGATTATTTTCTATCCTCAGGTTGTTCAGCAGTACATCAAGAAGTCTCTGCTGGAGAAAGAGCTTCTGTACTTTGGCTATGAAATTTTTGGAGTAACTTTTGTCGATCCAGTAAGTCCCATAAGCAGAGTTTTACAGAATGTTCCATTTTCTGTTTCTACTCTGTAAGAAATAATCGGACTTGCCTGATTCTCTTTTCAGGACACATGGACCCCTGAAGATGTCATGCCTAAGAAGCTGAGGGACAAGCAGAAGTAAGGAATATTATGCATTATTCTTGATTTCATTAAGGAAATTAAAAACCTAAAACCAAACTAATTTAGTAAAATAATGTGGTAAACTGATCTGAGTATATTTTACACTCATTAAAGTGTCTTAACAGCAGATTTTACCTAAATAATGATTTGAAGCTTTACTGGCTGCACAGTCGCTGCTTTACTAAACTGTTACGCTGTTGCTTTATTTATGCTGGCGTCTGCCTTCTGTTGCAGAAACATCACAGACCTTTATACACTGCATGTAGATAAGAGTTCAAAATCATAAAATCCCCAAACAGCTATGATGCACACAGTGAAATTAAAATGGGAAGTTGTAATATAACAGTTTACAAATGCATTTGGCACAGAACTCATGTTCAGTTCATCCCACCCACCAAAAATGAACATGTTTCAAAAGAGAAAGTCAAAATAATCACATAGTCTTTAGAATTTCTGTCAATATAATGTCTTATTTTATTAAGGAGTAACCCCACTATTTTCAACTCCACCCCTGGCTCAACTTTGAAAAATGCTCAAAAACGGGAGGGGCACATTGGGAGGGGCACTGCAGTGATCTACGGGTTTGAGGTGGGGCTGCGAGGGAAACCAGGTGGGCTGGGCTGCTGTGTTTTTTAGAGCTAGCCTACGTTAGCTACCAGAAAATATGGAGAGAGACAGAATCAAACGGTACTTTGCATGTGAGAGTCTTACGAGGCTGACGATTTTTCTCTACTACCATCCCCATCTTCACCGAGGGAAGGTGTTTCTGATCAGGCAGTGCGTCTTTAGCCTTAACAGTATGAGCCGCTGACTCAAACCGCCGAAGAGTTAACATAGTGCCAAAAAATGATTAGCAGCGAGGGGCAGAGGCGTCGAACGGTAGAACATCCCTCAAACCGTGACAGGTAGCTTCTAATTATCTGTTCAGCAGGTTCATATTCGATATAACCTGAATCCTGATTTCTTAGATGCACTGAATTCCGAATGAATGAAGTGGATTTCTTTGTCTGTTTAAGTTTCATTCAGTTTGACTCACCGGTCAGCCAGGGTTTGCTGCAGTAGCCCTAAATCCCTGCAAGCTGTTCATGGTATTCATCGGTGTTACATCCGTTTCAGTTGCGCCTCAAATTCATGTTTCCCTTCATATCGATCCTCGAGCGCCGCACTCACTGAACAGAAATCAACGGCAAGCAGCACTGGAACTATGGAGAGCGGGAAAAAAGCCTGAGAAAGGCTGTACGGACGAAAGGTTGACACAGTCAGTAACAATGGCCATTTAACGTTAACCTTTCCTGAACCGTGCCGCTTTCCGTAGATCCAGTGTTGCTTGCCGTTGATTTCTGCTCAGTGAGTCGCGCCTGAGGGTCTGAGTTGTGAAGGGAAACGTGAATCAGATGCAACACCGGCAGCTTTAAGGAGACTCGCAAGAATCCTCACTTAATCAGTCCAACATTTTTATTCCAAACTGAGCTCAGACTAACTGGGGTATTTACAGTTGGTACAGACAGCTGGCAGATCGCAGCCTTGTGAGGTGGTGCTGGGGGTATTTAGCTCAGCGCGACTGTGTTTATCTCCTCACTTTCAGCTCCTATGCTTTCATATTTCATATGATTTGCATACTGTCATCCGCACCTATAGCAGAGTTGAACCAGATGGGGCGCTGCAGAGGCGGAACTGACCACGATAAAAACGATATTAGAACTTGGTTTTATTAAAGGTTTATAAATGTCAGAAGTCAATCAATCAAGAACCGTACCTCTTTGTATTGTGTGCAGGGCAGATAGAGAAAGAGCCGCCCGGATTACAGAGGAGATCGGCAATCTGATGAAGGAGATTGAGACGCTAGTCGAGGAGAAGAGCAAAGAATCATCAGACATTGCCAAGACAATTCAAGATGGTGAGCAGCCTGAAAACAGTGTTGATGAAATGTATCAAATCTGAGTTGTACATTTTTGAAAATGTACATTTTTTTGTTCCTGCTTGACATAAATTGTGTCTCACTTAGTACCTAATAAAACATCATCGGACAAAGGGGTGTTTGACGACGTCACAGTTACCATGACATCTGCGGCTCTGAACGGATCACAGAGAGTGCTGCTGGATGGAGTCATCGCAGATGATGAATGTCGAGAACTACTCCGACTTTCCAGCGTAGGTGTTTAGCCTCCCAGAAAAAAATTGTTAATGGGTCAATGACAAGTGAGGCTTCCAAAATGATTATTTTAAACATTCTAAATAAAATAAATATAAAAATAGATGTAAACTTTATTATTTAGGATATGGATATAGATATAATGTGCATTTTTGTTATTTATGACTACTGAAAACAAGCATAAACTGTTCTAGTACTTGGACATACATATAAATCTCAGTTTATTTGTAGAACTTAGAAGTTATACAATAAAAACCAATGTGACGCCAATACTGGAATACCAGTATAGATAATATATAATACTGTTACAAGACATGTACCTGTGCTAGATATTTTTGGACATTACAGTCATATGTGCTTGAAAACTTTCCTATAGGCAGCAGCGCAGAAAGGAGACGGCTACAGAGGCCAGCCGAATCCTCACTCACCAAGCGAGATGTTCCAGGGAGTCACTGTTCTCAGGGCTCTACAGGTAAGATACCTCAGGATACCTCAGGATACTTGTTTGATGGAATGAATAATGCTGCATTTACGCATCTGATAAATACATTTAAAGGAATGGTGCAGCGAAAAATCACATTGACGCTTTTCTCCACTTACCTGAGATGAAATTGATCAGCCAAGACTTGTTTGATGTCCGAATTTTGACTCTTTGGCTTTGTTCACACAGCAGGTAAAAGTGGCCCGAATCGGATCTTTTTCTTTATATGTTTCACAGATGTGTGTCTGTGTGTCAGTGTGAACAGATAAACACTCTGAATCTGACATTTTCAATTCTGATTTGAGATGCTTTCATATGTGGTACTGAAATCCGATACGTATCCGATATGCGGCAATGCGACTCAGTCTGAACAGCCAGATCGGAATTTATACAGCTTTTACGTCAATCCAACTCAACATCAGTCATAATTTTGCGCTGCTGAGACTCATAAACATTTAGGCTGATGTTTCTGTTGAAAAAAACTAGAATAAATTCATCCAAACCCTCCGTGTTTGAAGAGATTTCTAAAGAAATGTCCGAACGCGGCCGCAGGAGAACGAGACTGCAGCGTCAAATATCAGTTAAAAAGTCTGAAAGCAAAGTTTAAAGAATCCGAGAACACGAACCAAAGAAGTGACCGCGCCCTTTTTACGGCTCGAACACACTCTGGGTGATGAGCCCAGCTGTCAGTCAGTGAAGCTTCATGATGGCTCCTGTGATGCTGGTGAAGATGAAGCTGATCCTCCGGGAGTGACTGGCGTTCATTCATAGTCATGATTGTTCACCTCTGGATGAGCCGTGAAGCAGCGTGAAGCCTTTTTCTTTTGTGTATGTGGGTCAGTTTAGGAGCTGATCTGTTCAGACTGATGTTGCATACAGATCACATTAAAAAATGTGAACAGCCGAACAAAAGTCAGAATTAGTGAGAAAATCAGATTTGGGCCACTTTTACCTGCTGTATAAACAAAGCCTTTAGTTTAGTGCCAGAGAGACGAGTTTAATCTTGTTAATAAACAGTAGTAATCGTGTAAAATACGTCTCAAAAACTTCTCTCAATCAACTCAAACCACATCCAGGTCTTTATTAAGGTTGCACAGACTTGTCAGTGCAGTTTAGGACACTATAACTTACTTTGAACTGTAAAGGTGAACTTCACCATGTAGCTGAATTCTGTGGGCAGCCATTTCAGACGGGTGTGCTTGCAAATCATGCAGGCATATGAATGCTACAGAATATGTGTCTTAAACCACATTGACATGTCTGTGCAACCTTAATGAAGAGCTGGATGTGGTTTGACCTCAACCACTAACCTAAAGAATCACAATCTGGACACCAAACATTTGGGCCAAGTGGAAAATGAGCCGGTTCTGTTCCACTAGTTATCATATTCAGTACCGTTCATCTTGGTCACATTGGTGTCAGAATATGTTAAAGGTGGTCATTTTCCAACTTAATAAAACTCCACTATTGTTTCTCCCAGCTCGGTCAGGAGGGAGTGTTCCCCTTGAAGAGTGCTCGTCTGTTTTTTGACCTGAGTGAGAAGGTGCGGAAAGTAGTGGAGTCCTACTTCAGCCTGGAGTCTCCTCTCTACTTCTCCTACTCCCATCTGGTCTGCCGCTCAGCCGTTGAGGGTAAGATGAAGTGCTGGGCCTGAATTGTGTGGAGCAAAGCTTTTGAATGAGCTGGGTTTAAGGCACAATCGAGTTTATGTACATTTAAAACTCTAAAAAATTTACCACACTGATCACATTTTTAAATCCATGATCCTCACTTAAACATGTTTACCGTGGAGCAGCTCCACGTTTGTTTATTTGCATCTCCTAGTAACAGTGAGCTCCGTTCGGTTCAGCAGCAGCTGGAAAGTTGAGTAGTGTGTGATCCCTAATCGGTTAGAGCAGGGGTATTTAATTCAAATTCAATACGGTCCAGTCAGAGAAAATTTCCTCAAGCAAAGGTCCAGAACATCATAATGTCTAACTTACATCATGATTCAGTGCCATATACTGTTTACTGAAGTAGCCTAGTGGTTATATCAACATCTTATACAGTCAACAACTGAATATCAAATCAAATAAAGTACAATTCAGTCATATTTCAACAACATTTATTGTCAGTTTTCTCTTTTTAGAGCACATCATGTTAAATAACTTCCCTCTGACTCACTTTCTTCTCTGACTGCTGTTTCTCGCCTCGTCCCCCTGTGTGTGCGTCACTCATTTGAGTCTCAGCACGCATCGTAATGCACAGCTCTGATTGGCAGAGTAGCGTCATGTGACATTTACAACGCATGCGATTGGTCTGCGTTGGAAAGTTAGGAAAGTTACGCAGATTAAAGTAGGACCACCCCGTCGAATTAAATCATTCTCCATAGTTTATCAGTTATAGGTCCAGGTCTGCATAGGACGGCGTCTGGGTCTGGACTCTGACCGCGGTCTGCCTATAAATGACCTCTGGTTTAGAGTGTGATCTCCAATATTTCAGTCACCCCAAAAAAGTGTGAGACGCCCAGTCTTTTATAATCTGTTCAGACTCTAAAAGTCATGTAGTGAACTCAAGGCTTTAGTGAAGTAAAGGAGATCCTACAGACTTAACAAGCATGCAGATTGCTGACTACAGTTAAATTCAACTAAGATAACACTACATTATTTAATGACAAATGCAGGGAAATGATGTAGTCAGATTAATAATCCAGATGCATTGAGTCTTTATAATTGTGTTTTGGAAAAACTCAAATGAAATCAAATTGTGAAGTGCCTAGAGATTCACACCTCTTCTGCTTAATATCGATGAATATTGATAGCATTTTACCAATACTGCTGCTGTTATCAGTGCTGATTATCAGTCTTACTAGCTTTATTATTATTTTGAAAAGAAAACTAAACAAAAGAGAATGAATTGAGAACAGAAACACCATTGCTATATTACTTTATGTGACAGTCCTCTTTCTGCAGCAGAAAAGTCACATAGTTGTCTTCTTTTTATACCTTTTTCTTTACTAATTTTACTAATACACTTATAGTTACTGTTCCAGGGCCATTCCTAGTTGTTCGTCCATTTTATGTGAAAAGTACACTTTTTCTCTCTTCCTGTCCAGAGAAACAAGATGAACGAGAGGACATGAGTCACCCTGTGCATGCTGACAACTGTCTGCTTGTCTCAGAACTTAATGAGTGTATCAAAGAGCCACCAGCGTACACACACCGGGACTACAGGTAGGCCATTGTCAGCGCATGACACTCTACATAATGATTTAAGAAGCCACTTCATTATCATTCAAGTAATAATAGATAATGATACATGCAGCTTTGTTTTTGTTTTCAGTGCCATCCTCTATCTCAATGATGACTTTGAAGGAGGAGATTTCATCTTCACAGAGCTGGATGCCAAAACAGTCACAGTAAGATTTTTACTTCCTGTTGTGACCACAGTGTGGCACTGTTGTCCTGAGATAATTATTTGTGTAATTCCTGGACACAGATTAAGCCTTGGCCAGGAAACCCTTTTCTACAGATAAATTAGAAGTCAATTTTGTGTGCAAAGACATGTTGAATGTATGTGTTCTGTCCTCTCAAAGGCCGTGGTGAAGCCTCAGTGTGGTAGAGTTGTGGCTTTTGGTGCTGGTAAGGAGAATCCCCATGGTGTAAGGGCAGTGACCAAGGGGCAGCGATGTGCCATAGCCCTCTGGTTCACTCTGGATCCTAAACATAACGAGAAGGCAAGTCTCCTGTTTTCCATGTAACCCAAATGTAGTCGTTTGGTGTCCAAAGTTTGCTTCATACCAAATAGACAAATATGTTGCCTAGCTAAAAACTTGATGTCTGAATTTTAACTGTACACTTTCAGAAATAATGGTAGTAAACTGTCACTGGGGCAGTGCCCCTCTTTTCACTGTGGTAGGACCCTCAAGGGTTCATCTCAGTACCTTTAGTCAGGGAACATATCTGTACCATAATCCACTGAAATGATATTTTCTAAGCTGTACTGACTCCACACACCCCGTCTCGTCTCCAGGCTTTTATTTTACTGTTCTGTTTTAAATCATTTGGTTATTAAAAGGTACAAATACGAACTTTTCACCTGGAAAAACTTATTTAAGGTTCACAATCAGACCTTAAAACCACTGTTGTACCTTTGAGGGAACGTTTACATTGTTAAAGTGCACCTTTATAGTAAGTGGAGCTGATAAAATGGACAATGAGCGTAGAAACAAGGAGGTGGTCATAATGTTATGCCTGATCTGTGTATATTGGGATTTTGAACTGTTTTAATCAGTTCAATTTATATTTATTAATATTATCTGCATCTATTAAAGTCTCTATTTTTTTGGTTCTTCAGGAGCGAATTCAGGCTGAGGACCTCCTGAAAATGCTCTCCAGCCCAGTTAGTGAAGAGTTCCAGCAAACAGAGAAGGACAGCCATGCTGACACAAACTCAGAACCACAAAGCACAGAGCCTATCAGAACAGCAAAGCAGGACGAGGCAGAGAAACCAAAAGAAGAGACGAGGATGCCTGCAGAGGAACAACCCAGCAAAAGTGCTGAGGAACAGACTGACAGCAAGGATGTCAAAAAAGAAGACCAGGCCAAGGCCAAGGCCAAGGCTGCAGATAAAACTGGCAAAACAGCAACTCAAACGAAAGTAAAACCAGCAGGGAAAACAAAAGAGACAGGCAAGGCAAAGGCCAAAACAGTGGACAAAGCAAAGGACAAGGCAGCAGCCAAAACAAAGACCAAAACAGTGGACAAAAAGGAGAAGTCAGTTGATAAGAAGACAGTAAAGGTAGTGTCAAAAAAGACTGTGGATGGCTCAGAAAGCAAAAAACCCAAAGCAAAAAGCTCAACCAGTAAAGACTCAAAATCACAGAAAAATAAACAGGAATTGTGAGCCTTTGGTATAAGTATTTTTTTTTAAATGTCCGTTTTGTACAATTTAATTTTTTTTATTATATTTTTGCTTTGCGATGGGACATTTTTTTGTTTTTTTTCATACCAGAGAAAGATAAAATTGAAGCAGTACTGGTTTTACAACATAAATCACTTCAAGTCTCAGGATCGTTCTCATGACCTATCAGAGTTAGTCCAATAAAATTGACATAATTGGAGTTTAACAGTGGCTCATGTGTGTTTTATTTTACATAATTGTGGCAGAAACTTATATAAACATGATGTGTTTTGCTGTAACTTGAAGCAGCTTCTCAAACTGCTAAATTGAATAAGCCTGCATTAACTTCATTTTGCACTAGGTGGCAGAGTTTAATTGGTATTGTGCGCCATATGCAGTACAGTGTTTTCTGTTGACAACCTCAGTAGCAGTTGTGGAAGATTTGTGTGGTGTTTTATAGAATTCAAGGTTATATATAATTATTAACAGTCATAATAGTTATGTGTAATTCTTTGCATTTGTTGTTAGTCCCCTTTCACCCTGTCCTTCAACTGTCAGGACCACCACAGAGCAGGTACTATTTGGGTGGTGGATTATTCTCAGCACTGCAGTAACACTGATGTGGTGGTGGTGTGTTAGTGTGTGTTGCGCTGGTCTGAGTGGATCAGACACAGCAGTGCTGCTGGAGTTTTTAAACACCTCAGTGTCACTGCTGGACTGAGAATTGTCCACCAATAAAAATATAGTTTTAGAATGAGCACTGATAAATTGATAAAGTAAAACATGATATCTTTTATTTGCGCTTTTTTGTTTCTTTCTGTTTTTATTTGAATTTGACATTCTTTCCCAGCTTTACCAGAATTGAGGCTTTTAGAGTGTGTAGAAAAAAAAAAGAAAAAAAAAATATATATATATATATATATATATATATATATATTCTAACTGTTGGAACAAAATGTCATGTACAAATAACTTTACAGGCAAAGACAAAACATTTCCTTGTAATAACTTACAAGTGACAGTGACAGTACATATCAACAAATGGCACCCTGGCCAAATGACATTTTTTATTTTTTTAAGTGAATATATGTAAAATGTGTAAACACATTCAGCAAACTATTTAAAAAATGTTTTTTTTTTCTGTTAATGCAGTTACTTTATATTTAATAAACTTCCAAAAATGTAAAAAAAAATACAATAGTTATTGTAGCATGTGGAAAAGTTTGGATGTGGAACACTTCCAGTTGTAAAGTCTCAGAACTTAATCCCATTAAGCCTTAATTGACTCATTAGGGCTGGTAAGGCAGGTCGAGAACTGTCATTAGTAATTGTCAGCTGATGGCAATTCTTCAACCTAATAATTTCTCTGAATCTTCAAACCTTGTGCTGACACTTAATCACCATGGGCTCCTCTAAGCAGCTGGCTATGGATCTGAAAATGAAGCTAATGGTTGCTTACAGGGGAAACTGGAGACGGCTATAAAAAGATATCAAAGTGCTTTCAGCACTATTATTTCCTGTGTTGGAAATGTCATTAAGAATCAAATCCGATTTTTTGCCCTAATGTGACTCGGATCTGATGTTTTCAGAGCTGTGTGGACACGCAAATCTGATCTTTTCAAACCCGACCTGAGCTACTTTCATATGTTGGATACATATCTTGAATCGTGGCCATGCGATCTTAATGTGAACGCTCAGAATTCCCATAGAATTGCTCGTATGCTGGCCATAAATGCAAAGCAAAACTCCCATATGACAGCAAAGGACCTGCAGAAAGGTTTAGCCGATCACACGACTGGTAGTGCACCGTTCTACTGTCCAGGGTTTGCACTATGATGATCTGCACGGAAAAGTCATCAAAAAGAAACCTCACCTCCAATCTGATGACAAACGTTAATATATAAAGTATGCAAAACAACGTCTAGATATGCAGAAGCATTTTGGAAACAAGTGCAGATGAAGTGAAAATAGAACTCTTTGGCCACAATAAAAGGTACGTTTGGAAAAAAATGAGAAGCATTTGATGAAAAGAACACCTTGCCAACTGTTAAACCTGGGGGTGGATCTGTTACGCTTTGGCAGCCAATAGCAACAGAAAACAATGTATGGGAAGATAGAAGGATAGATTCTATTAAATAGCAGCAAAATTCTGGAAACAAATGTGACACAGTCAGTCAAGCTGAAAAGAGGCTGACTTCTACAGCAGGACAATGATCCAAAACATAACTACAAATCCACCGTGAACTAATTCAAGAAATGCAAGCTGAAGCTTTTGGAATGATCCTCACAGCCCCTGACATGAACATCAGTGACAATCTATGGGTAGATCTGTGGTGAAACATACTGTGAATGCAAAATAGTCCAAGAGTATCACAGAACTAGACTGTATATTTCCTTTCGCAGATTTTTTTAAGGTTGTGTCACTAAAGAATGCTTATTAAATAGTAAATGTTACTAAATATTACTGTAGTGGAAAATTGCTGCCTGTACTAAACACCACATCCACCCAAAATCATTCTCGGCGAATGCTTGCTGAATATAATGAGCTCTTTCGGCTCTAATTATTCCTTAAATGCACCTTTCCCAAAATAGCATGTCTGTTCCCTAAGTGCACTTTTCTAAATATAACAAATCTGTAGCAAACAGAATGAAACAGAACAACCAGGTTCAGATGTAAACTGATTTTGTTGTCTTAATACCATCAGAAACAAAGTGTTAAAAATAATAAACATTCTGAAATGAACTGCAGGGTTTCCACACTGTGTCATTGTGGGTGAAGCCTGCTGGAGTCGCACTGAAGGCCTGTGTGGGTCTTGCATTGAATGGACTCAGACCCACACAAGGCAGTGAATGTCAGAGAGACACTTCTTATGGCTGGCATATCTCGAAGCAACCTGATGTGGAGAAAAGCAGGACAATTATTCCGCAGCTTAGAGAGGGACATTGTCAGGCAGAGGGCTGCACTGCATCACAATTACATAGATGACGACTGTCCAAATTCTATACATATGCAACCAAAGGATTTCGCATGTGTCTTCCTCATTTGCAGCATTGGGGGCAATGAATGCCTCCATAACTTCTAGGCTCGAATACTTTTTCAGTTTGCGTGAGCTGGAGGCAGTTTGCCTAAATGACATGCAATTTATGCCCATACTGACCTACTGAATGAAAGCGTTACATACAACCCCAAGATATGACTTGTATTCTGGTAGTTTAGGACACAGGGTGAGACACACTTCACCACTGACCACTGAAGGTTGAGCCTAGTATGGATTAAAAGTGATATTCTAGTCTACAAACATGCTAACAAAAATATTACATGCCTCCTATAATTATGCATGTTTACTTTCTGGTTTTACTACTTTTTTTTACACCACTAGGGGGTGATTTCACAGTTAGCTTGAACTTAAGCCCATTGTCCCTGATGTGTCCTCCTATTGGACAGGCTTGACTTTCAGTTTAAAGGCCAATTCCACTGGATTTTCAGAATCGCTGCATAAATAAGTCATTGAGATGTAAAAAGTCATTCATAGTGCTTTGATGTGAAATGGTCTATTGTAGAGAAACGTACTGACTTACAGTCCTTACAGTGGTGGTGATGGAAACCAGGGATTGCAATGTTTACAACACAAACACAGCCATTCTATTCACTACCCAAAATGTCCTACACATCTTCTGAGTGTTTATTTGTAATGTTGATGATGGTAAAACGGTCAAAAAACGAAAAAAAGACATCTTCTTAGGGGACTATTTTGCCTTACAACACTGCATGAATCTCTCCAGCATCTAATAACTTTCTCTGCTGTTTTCACACCGTTTGTTTGCTAAAGTCTGAACCAGAATTTGGGTTTTGTGACATTCACCCTTATTCATCAGAGTCTCGTACGGTCAAATCTGATCGTAAACTGAGTGCATGCAAAATTCATAGACATTTTTGATATTCATCAGTTTCTTCTTTGGCATATCTGTACGATCAAACTCATGTCTGACAGGAGATTTTAAAATATATAATGTATTATATAATATAAAATACAATACAATAATCACACTACACATTCGCACCATTGCATCTTCTTAAAAACAGGCGATTTGTTTATTTCACATTTTATTTATTTTTTTCAGTCATTGTAACTAATAACTATACACTATAAAACTACATAACACTATAAAGTTTGGTCAGTAGGGGGAGCAGTGCACTCACTTACTTTAACTCCGCCTACGAGCACAGCCATTGGTTCTCGAGCCACTGACATTGCTTTCATTTTATTGCCTCCCTACAGATTAATGTACATAGGGTTTGCATGCAAATTATATGTAAATAAAGGGCTGGTAAGCTGGCACTTGATTTCACGCACCGAGGCTGATTCATCATCTGTGCTCAAATCTCCGTATTTCGTGAAACAGATGCAGAGTGGTTTGAATGTCATTAAAGGTGGTCAAACCTGCACCCTTTGTTTTAGAGTAAGGGCCATTGTATCTTTTTCATTTGGTTTGGTTGGTTTCACAGCGCAATGAATAAAGTGCACCAAATTACATATGTGGGTGTTTCTTGATTGGTCAGGAATTTGACAATGACACAAGCTTTGTCATTTGCCTCAATTAGTGCCAGAAATTTTCACTATTGTTCTATATCAAATGTATTTATGATAAAGTGTATAATACTACCCAATATATTGCATTAAAATGGACACTTAATGTATTGATGTATCAATCAAAATCATAGACGTAAACGTTTCTAGATATTCGTGTCTTTATAATTGATTGGTTTATTTATGCATCAGGTTAGATGTTGAATTTCCTCATTTGGTACGGACCATCTTAAAATTTGGTTCCCACCAGCAGCAAACTGGGTCACTTGGAAGTGAACCAAGACCCGTGATTTTTAGCCAACTATGGTTGTTTAGGAAAGGCAGGTAAAGGTAGAGCATCCACATTTGACAAAACAGACCGAACTACAGAACGTTTGAAAAGTCCACACCAAACAAGTGTTTGAAAGCATTCTCAGATGTATTAAGTGTCTCAGACGTCTGGTTCCTATCACCACCACTATAGACAAATCTGACTCTTTAAGTTTCTCTGGAACGAAATATTTCATCAAACCACTCTTAATGATTTTGCTCACAATGTCATAAACACCATAACTATCTAACAAGGCATACACTTGGAAATATGGTGCCAAGCTTGGGTGTCCAGCACTCGTCCTGTTTTGTCAAAGCCAAAGTCAAT